ACATTCCAAGGCTTACAATCGATGCCCTTCCAAAACCTGATGCTGAAATGCAGGACATAACTAGAGACGAAGAAGAGATGTTGAGTAAACCAACCGAAACGTGGAGTATTTTAACAAAGCACCTCACTGAAGAATAGTTTTCTAAATGGACTAGTATTTTAACAAAGCATCTCACTGAAGAATAGTTTTCTAAATGGACTAGTATTTTAACAAAGCACCTCACTAAAGAATAGTTGTCCAAATAGACTATCACTACAAAATAAACCTAGCCAGCATTTCTGTAGAAAGGAGAAAAAAAACGATGACAATGTAGTCACAAGAAAGTGTGGTCAACACTGCAACAATACAAACAAATCTGGTTTCATGTATGAGAGACAATAGGCTGAGTAAAAGCTCTTTAACTAAATATGTTTGTTCTGATACAAATGGACCTTTCGTGCTTGTTCACCTGGGATATTTTCACTCAACAAGCACATTAAAAAAGCCATTGAAGTTGCTAAGAGTAGGTTATGAGACCATCAATCTGGCACCTGCTGCCAGGGAAAGGTCGCAGGTATACAGATCCTGTTACCTTCAATGGTGTTTGCCTACAGGAAGTAGATGCCACGTCAATGCATGAAAAAATGTCACTCCGATCCAGCTTTGTGAAGTGCATAGTTATATGTGAATTGTAAAGAGGGACAAAGAAAATTCTGCAGACATGAAGGTGTATATCTGTACAGCTACTGAGTAACAAAAACATCCAACACAGGAACATCAGTTACAACAGCTGGATTTTAGTGAGAATATTTATTTTTCACATGTGCAAACGTTCACTTCATTCTTCATACGAATGTACATAAAAATACCTGGTTATATGGCTTAAAACATTGCAGACTGTTGTTGCCTGATGTGGTTTTAAAACATCTGCTTTGGCATTCTGGCTTTTTAACACCATGGCGCTAATTCATGTCAGGTTCAACTGACAGCTGCATGTTATAAACATGATTTGTACTGAATCTAGTTATCTGTTCTGCGCCCAAACTATTTTCATCAATATCAGGCCTCTGAATCTTGAACTATGGGAACTGTGCTCTATTGATACTGCTGTGAACAACCCAAAACCTGCTCCTTCAAGTTGTGGATGCTCCAAGAATTCCATTTGTATTTCTGTTTTTAATCACTTGCTTCATAATGCAATATATTATTGTCGATGAGAACGTTTCGTAATGCCGGGTTCGATCCCAGCTGCGGGCCATGCACCTTGCGTTGGTTTCGACAGTGGTATCAAGAAAGCTGACCATCCAGAAATCAATGGCAAGCTAATTGACGTAAATTTGCCTAGAAAAAACAAACAACAGCCAGGGGCTGTTGGGGTTGGTTCTGCAATGTCCTGTAAAGAATACGCAACTAACCTTACATAAGTTAACACCCCCCAACCCCATATTTGAAACAAAAGAAAAAGAAGACCTTGTATGTGCATGCTGATACCATCATGTTGAGCCTGTTTAAAAGAAACAGAGGAATAAACTATCGGGAAGGGTAATTCAGCCAACAAATCCTTGCAGAAGTTGGATTTATTGGCTGAAAAGAGCAGTAATGCTGTAAACAGACACATCACAACTATGTCATCAGACACATCATAACTATGTCATCAGACACATCATAACTATGTCATCAGACACATAATAACTGTGTCATCAAACACATCACAACTATGTCATCAGACACATAATAACTGTGTCATCAAACACATCATAACTGTGTCATCAAACACATCATAACTATGTCATCAAACACATCATAACTATGTCATCAGACACATAATAACTGTGTCATCAAACACATCACAACTATGTCATCAGACACATAATAACTGTGTCATCAAACACATCATAACTGTGTCATCAAACACATCATAACTATGTCATCAGACACATCATAACTATGTCATCAGACACATCATAACTATGTCATCAAATACACAGAACAGAAACATACTGGGGGACACAGAGATGTTATTTCTTCAGAGTATATTTGGAATTGCAAGCACTGATCAGAAGAGCAATATCCAAGTCCTGCAAGAACCAGTATCCCAAAGAAATGTCCTGACCCGCAGCAGGACAAAACCAATAATCATTGTTTCTGGTGTCGTTATGAGATGACAGTGTCACTGGAAGGTTGTGACAACCAGAAACATTCATTGTGTAGGAGAAAGAGGTCAACAGAAAGGCTGAATGGGTTGACACAGTAACATGGAAAATCATTAACAGAATTTGTCAAGAATATAGACAGATGATATATGTTTGCGGAGTGATGCTTTATGTCACCCAGCATAGTACATGAATATTTTGCTACACTTTCAGCTTTGTATGGAAAACACATATTGGTTCCCAACTGCAACAGTTTCGGGGTGAGAACGAATGAGCATAATTTATTTTTAAAGGGGTAAGAACTGGGCACACAGCTCTGTCTAACATTCTACCCTTCTAATTTGCATCCATTGATACATCATTTTATTCACATACCTGTTACCAAGTAATAATAAACATTATCAACAGCACCCACGTTTTCAACCACAGTTAACTGTTCTAACTATAATAAGTCTAAGAGAAATATGTTATTTATAAAATCCTGTTTTCTTTTAATGCAGCATGTCATCTGCGCTCAGATAATATTCAAACAGTTTCTGATTGTATGTATAAAAGCCCTTGGTATTTATGATTTGTTGTGAAGATGGTTCCATAGCTGAGCTGAAGAGTACGCTAAACTTGTTTTGTGAGGGTCTATTCTAAGTTTAGAGATACAGGAAGAGGATGTTACAGTGTACCATCATGACAAGAGACACAAGAAGAGGATGTTACAGTGTACCATCATGGCAAGAGACACAGGAAGAGGATGTTACAGTATACCATCATGACAAGAGACACAAGAAGAGGATGTTACAGTGTACCATCATGACAAGAGACACAGGAAGAGGATGTCACAGTGTACCATCATGGCAAGAGATACAGGAAGAGGATGTTACAGTGTACCATCATGACAAGAGACACAGGAAGAGGATGTTACAGTATATCATCATGACAAGACACAGGAAGAGGATGTTACAGTGTACCATCATGACAAGAGATACAGAAGAGGATGTTACAGTGTACCATCATGGCAAGAGACACAGGAAGAGGATGTTACAGAATACTATCATGACAAGACACAGGAAGAGGATGTTACAGTATACCATCATGGCAAGAGATACAGGAAGAGAATGTTACAGTGTACCATCATGGCAAGAGATACAGGAAGAGGATGTTACAGTGTACCATCATGGCAAGAGACACAGGAAGAGGATGTTACAGTGTACCATCATGACAAGACACAGGAAGAGGATGTTACAGTATACCATCATGACAAGAGACACAGGAAGAGGATGTTACAGTATACCATCATGGCAAGACACAGGAAGAGGATGTTACAGTATACCATCATGACAAGAGACACAGGAAGAGGATGTTACAGTATACTATCATGACAAGACACAGGAAGAGGATGTTACAGTGTACCATCATGACAAGACACAGGAAGAGGATGTTACAGTATACCATCATGACAAGAGACACAGGAAGAGGATGTTACAGTATACCATCATGGCAAGACACAGGAAGAGGATGTTACAGTATACCATCATGACAAGAGACACAGGAAGAGGATGTTACAGTATACTATCATGACAAGACACAGGAAGAGGATGTTACAGTATACCATCATGACAAGAGACACAGGAAGAGGATGTTACAGTATACCATCATGGCAAGAGATACAGGAAGAGGATGTTACAGTATACCACCATGGCAAGAGATACAGGAAGAGGATGTTACAGTATACCACCATGGCAAGAGATACAGGAAGAGGATGTTACAGTATACCATCATGACAAGAGACACAGGAAGAGGATGTTACAGTATACCATCATGACAAGAGACACAGGAAGAGGATGTTACAGTATACCATCATGGCAAGACACAGGAAGAGGATGTTACAGTATACCATCATGGCAAGAGATGCAGGAAGAGGATGTTACAGTATACCATCATGACAAGAGATGCAGGAAGAGGATGTTACAGTATACCACCATGGCAAGAGATACAGGAAGAGGATGTTACAGTATACCATCATGACAAGAGACACAGGAAGAGGATGTTACAGTATACCATCATGGCAAGACACAGGAAGAGGATGTTACAGTATACCATCATGGCAAGAGACACAGGAAGAGGATGTTACAGTATACCATCATGGCAAGAGATGCAGGAAGAGGATGTTACAGTATACCACCATGGCAAGAGATACAGGAAGAGGATGTTACAGTATACCATCATGACAAGAGACACAGGAAGAGGATGTTACAGTATACCATCATGGCAAGAGACACAGGAAGAGGATGTTACAGTGTACCATCATGGCAAGAGACACAGGAAGAGGATGTTACAGTGTACCATCATGGCAAGAGACACAGGAAGAGGATGTAAAGTGTACCGTCATGGCAAGAGACACAAAGCTTTAGATTCACCGCAGTCAACCTTGAACTGGAAGATGGGACATGATCTGATCTGTTGCTGAAAAACTACACACACTTCACTGACAACAATCACTGTCAACAGGCAGCTCTTCTCAGGTACACATATTTTGAGCTACATCAAATCGGGCACCTAAAGTGGATGTAACACTGACATATGCCTGTATACAAAAGCTATATACAGAATTTGCCAAATAAATATAGCGGCACATGTCTAAGTGTGCATGCATAGCAGTACAATCTGGCATAGTGTTACACTGTAATACATCACTCAATTTCCTCCTAGTCAACATTCTCCCAAAATAATCATTCATCAAGTAAAATTCAGTCACTTTCAAACCATGAAGCAAGGCAAAGTCAAAACTGGGAAACAAATTTAAAAAAAAAAAACATTTGTGTTTCACCATCTGAGACTTGACAATTCATGAATGTCGCTAGCATGTCCCATCAATCACTGTGGTTTGGTAACAATGAGAACTGCAGACGGCACAAGTCCTGGAAAGGTCAAATGTGAGAAATCAGGTGCCTTTCTAAACATTCAACATGGTAGTCTGTAAACAGCTGCAGCAAATTATCGTCTGATATAAGACCCCTAATGTTTATACATTCTTCTTCTTCACCATTTGCAGTGATGTAATTATGCTGTGCCTATCTGCACCATAGTTAAGATATCTGTACCTTTAGGCCAACATACAGAGTATTTGTTTTCTAGGTTTAGTCTTCCCAGTTAGCTTATTTACCATTGTGGGAAATACACAACCTCTTCACCCCCCCCCCCCCACCACCTAACAGGTCGCACCTCAAAGGAAGGCAGGGACAGAACATGGGCATTTCCCACCATCCAAGGCCTCCATAAATGGACAGTAATGAAACTGTGCTCTGATACTGTGCTCACCCATGGAATCATCATGTCCTGCATACAACTTCTTAATCTCACATTCGTATACCGAGTCTCCCACTCATCATTGGCTGCACCCTTGAGGGATCTACAGGAAGATGTCCACAAATCTGAGAATTCGATGACCAGCACAAAATAAATATCTTGCTTCCTCAGCAGGTCAGACTTATCTACAATTACATCTTAACATGGATGCCTTGGGGTATTTTGTGCTGCTGTAGTGGGAAAGCATACACCAGACATGGATTTGACCACCCCTTGGGTTGCAACACTCTAAAGGGTTCGGTTTGTGGACACTTGATCCTTGTATGTCATCAAGTAAGATCTTTGATGCACTGATAACTGGAACATAGTTACCATATAGGAGGATTTTCATACGACAGATATATGAATCACATGTGCCATTTAGTAGGAAACTCTTCTAGTGGACCCTTGATAGCTGTTATTACCCACACATGGAGAGATGACATACAAGGTACCCCCCCCCCCCCCCTTTCCCCTGTACACAGCAAAAGGGCATTTACCCTTTCACTTGGTAAAAATCGTAAAATAATATCTATTTCCAAAATCTCATTTAAACAACAAACACATCCTTACAACAACTCTCTGAAATCCACCCTGAGAAACTGAGGGTGGGTGTTGGGGAAAAGGGGGGGGGGGGAAAAGAAAGACAATTTGGAGTCTTGGTCAGTTTTTATTGAAGTCCAAAGTGTTGAACCCCCTGACCACTGAGCAGACAGGAGAACTTAAAGACCAAAGAGCAGACAGGAGAATATGAACCCCCGACCACTGAGCAGACAGGAGAACATGAACCCCCGACCACTGAGCAGACAGGAGAATATGAACCCCCGACCACTGAGCAGACAGGAGAACATGAACCCCCCGACCACTGAGCAGACAGGAGAATGTGAACCCCCGACCACTGAGCAGACAGGAGAACATGAACCCCCGACCACTGAGCAGACAGGAGAATATGAACCCCCGACCACTGAGCAGACAGGAGAACATGAACCCCCGACCACTGAGCAGACAGGAGAATATGAAGACCAAAGAGCAGACAGGAGAACATGAACCCCCGACCACTGAGCAGACAGGAGAATATGAAGACCAGACCACTGAGCAGACAGGAGAAACATGAACACCACTGAACAGACAGGAGAAACATGAACACCACTGAACAGACAGGAGAAACATGAACACCACTGAACAGACAGGAGAACATGAACACCACTGAGCAGACAGGAGAACATGAACACCACTGAGCAGACAGGAGAACATGAACACCACTGAACAGACAGGAGAACATGAACACCACTGAGCAGACAGGAGAACATGAACACCACTGAGCAGACAGGAGAAACATGAACACCACTGAGCAGACAGGAGAACATGAACACCACTGAACAGACAGGAGAACATGAACACCACTGAGCAGACAGGAGAAACATGAACACCACTGAGCAGACAGGAGAACATGAACACCACTGAGCAGACAGGAGAACATGAACACCACTGAGCAGACAGGAGAACATGAACACCACCAAGCAGACAGGAGAACATGAACACCACTGAGCAGACAGGAGAAACATGAACACCACTGAGCAGACAGGAGAAACATGAACACCACTGAGCAGACAGGAGAACATGAGGACCAGACCACTGAGCAGACAGGAGAACATGAATGGTATGAAGAACAATAATCACTAAATACAAATCGAGTGAAGAATTAACTGCTTTCCTTCCCTGTGACAATAATAAATGTGGTTTTGTTGACCCAACCACACCCAACAGAGAGATGTAATGACATTATTAAGACATACACAACTGAAATTTTGTTTCACTGTAAATATCTCACATTTGTATGTTAACATTTACAATCATGCCCGCCATGGCTACACAGTATACAGTTGTTATTTAGGACTAATAGCCACTGTCTAGAGACTTCATGTCGGAAATAACTCAAAGGGCAAAGTTTCTCTCACACCAGTGACTGAAATCACTCCACCATGAGCCGACCAATGACATGATGAGATTTCACTGATGACAGTATGCAGGCTCACTTCTGACAGGATGACAGTCTACTAACAACTGACTTAACGCCCACCAAAGATATAATGTAACATAATAAAAGACAGTCGGCCCCTAACACAAGAAAGAGGTCACCAACTACACACGCAGTTAAATGGTTCTGCTTTGAATCAAGTTAGGGAGTTTAAATATCTAGGAAGTATGATCACAGAAGATGGTAGAATTGACAGAGAAAAAGAAACCAGATGCACTTATATACCAAATGTCACCATTATTAAGACATCCAAGCATAACTATGATTGCAAAGAGACAGATTATTAATAGTATATTCATTCTAACATTAACCTACCAGTGCCAAACATGGACACTATCTAAAGCCCATATATGCAAAATTACCACGTGGAGATAAGGTGCCCAAGAAAAGCAGCCAACCTAACCATCCAAGATCGAGTTAATTATGAAACTATCAGGCAAATTGTGGGAACGACACCTTGTACTAGTTTCATTGAGAAACAGCAGATCAAGTGGTTTGGCCATCTCATTAGAATGCAGCAAGATCAAATACCATCACAAGCAATATATCTCTGAAGATCAGCTACAAGAGCAAGAGGACAGCCACGGAAATATGGATCAATAACATTAAAGACACTCTACGCCTTCACGGCATGGCAATAGCCAGTGGCAGCCAATGTGCACTGGATTGCAAAATATTCCTCCTCACGACACTTAATGGCAGAAGAGGCCTATGATGATGATGACACCAGAAAACTCATAGAACATGTCACTAGTATACAAACCTATATTTGAGAATTTACCTAAAGTAATATTTCCAGAAATGCTGACAGAATGTATAATGTTTGAACAAATATCTAGACAATGTATTCAACAAAAACTGATACTGCCTGTTACTCTATGATAGAGCATAGACTTGGGCCAACTAAGACTAGATCATCTTATAACTGACATCTTCATGGCTAGTTGCTTTCTGTGGCTTCAGTGTTTGAACCGATAAGGTAGCTACCCTAAACCCAATCCTTGCATCAGAAGCCTCTTTGTACATGCCATTTCAGGTATAGCAAACTATCTGCTTCCTCCATATGTCAGGGTAATTCAACTGGTGGCCTACGGGCCAAATATGACCCACGGAGGCCTAGAAAGTGGCCCGTGGATCAATGCCAGTTGTGTTTTATTAGTGACCTTTATATTTTTGGATGACTACCAAGAATAAATACTGAGAGAATATCCAACATAATGCCTGTATAGACATCTAGAGAATGTATCCAACATAATGCCTGTATAGACATCTAGAGAATGTATCCAACATAATGCCTGTATAGACATCTAGAGAATGTATCCAACATAATGCCTGTATAGACATCTAGAGAATGTATCCAACATAATGCCTGTATAGACATCTAGAGAATGTATCCAACATAATGCCTGTATAGACATCTAGAGAATGTATCCAACATAATGCCTGTATAGACATCTAGAGAATGTATCCAACATAATGCCTGTATAGACATCTAGAGAATGTATCCAACATAATGCCTGTATAGACATCTAGAGAATGTATCCAACATAATGCCTGTATAGACATCTAGAGAATGTATCCCAACATAATGCCTGTATAGACATCTAGAGAATGTATCCCAACATAATGCCTGTATAGACATCTAGAGAATGTATCCAACATAATGCCTGTATAGACATCTAGAGAATGTATCCAACATAATGCCTGTATAGACATCTAGAGAATGTATCCAACATAATGCCTGTATAGACATCTAGAGAATGTATCCAACATAATGCCTGTATAGACATCTAGAGAATGTATCCAACATAATGCCTGTATAGACATCTAGAGAATGTATCCAACATAATGCCTGTATAGACATCTAGAGAATGTATCCAACATAATGCCTGTATAGACATCTAGAGAATGTATCCAACATAATGCCTGTATAGACATCTAGAGAATGTATCCAACATAATGCCTGTATAGACATCTAGAGAATGTATCCAACATAATGCCTGTATAGACATCTAGAGAATGTATCCAACATAATGCCTGTATAGACATCTAGAGAATGTATCCAACATAATGCCTGTATAGACATCTAGAGAATGTATCCAACATAATGCCTGTATAGACATCTAGAGAATGTATCCAACATAATGCCTGTATAGACATCTAGAGAATGTATCCAACATAATGCCTGTATAGACATCTAGAGAATGTATCCAACATAATGCCTGTATAGACATCTAGAGAATGTATCCAACATAATGCCTGTATAGACATCTAGAGAATGTATCCAACATATGCCTGTATAGACATCTAGAGAATGTATCCAACATAATGCCTGTATAGACATCTAGAGAATGTATCCAACATAATGCCTGTATAGACATCTAGAGAATGTATCCAACATAATGCCTGTATAGACATCTAGAGAATGTATCCAACATAATGCCTGTATAGACATCTAGAGAATGTATCCAACATAATGCCTGTATAGACATCTAGAGAATGTATCCAACATAATGCCTGTATAGACATCTAGAGAATGTATCCAACATAATGCCTGTATAGACATCTAGAGAATGTATCCAACATAATGCCTGTATAGACATCTAGAGAATGTATCCAACATAATGCCTGTATAGACATCTAGAGAATGTATCCAACATAATGCCTGTATAGACATCTAGAGAATGTATCCAACATAATGCCTGTATAGACATCTAGAGAATGTATCCAACATAATGCCTGTATAGACATCTAGAGAATGTATCCAACATAATGCCTGTATAGACATCTAGAGAATGTATCCAACATAATGCCTGTATAGACATCTAGAGAATGTATCCAACATAATGCCTGTATAGACATCTAGAGAATGTATCCAACATAATGCCTGTATAGACATCTAGAGAATGTATCCAACTAAATGTCTGAATAAATACTGAGAGAGTTTGTCCATCATAATGTTTGAAAAATTACCAAGATTTTATCCAACACAAAGTTTGAACAAATACTTGAGACAACTCACCCAACATAATGTTTGAACAAACACTTGAGACAACTTACCCAACATAATGTTTGAACAAATACTTGAGAGCACTTACCCAACATAATGTTTGAACAAATACTTGAGACAACTTACCCAACATAATGTTTGAACAAATACTTGAGACAACTTACCCAACATAATGTTTGAACAAATACTTGAGAGAACTTACCCAACATAATGTTTGAACAAATACTTGAGACAACACCCAACATAATGTTTGAAGAAATACCTGAGACAACTTACCCAACATAATGTTTTGAACAAATACTTGAGACAACTTACCCAACATAATGTTTGAACAAATACTTGAGAGAACTTAACCAACATAATGTTTGAAAAAATACTTGAGACAACACCCAACATAATGTTTGAACAAATACTTGAGACAACTTACCCAACATAATGTTTGAACAAATACTTGAGACAACTTACCCAACATAATGTTTGAACAAATACTTGAGACAACTTACCTAACATAATTTTTGAACAAATACTTGAGACAACTTACCCAACATAATGTTTGAACAAATACTTGAGACAACTTACCCAACATAATGTTTGAACAAATACTTGAGACAACTTACCCAACATAATGTTTGAACAAATACTTGAGACAACTTACCCAACATAATGTTTGAACAAATACTTGAGAGAACTTACCCAACATAATTTTTGAACAAATACTTGAGACAACACCCAACATAATGTTTGAACAAATACTTGAGACAACTTACCCAACATAATGTTTGAACAAATACTTGATAGAACTTGCCCAACATAATGTTTGCACAAATACTTGAGAGAACTTGCCCAACATAATGTTTGAACAAATACTTGAGAGAACTTGCCCAACATAATGTTTGAACAAATACTTGAGAGAACTTACCCAACATAATGTTTGAACAAATACTTGAGAGAACTTACCCAACATAATGTTTGAACAAATACTTGAGAGAACTTACCCAACATAATGTTTGAACAGATACTTGAGACAACTTACCCAACATAATGTTTGAACAAATACTTAAGACAAATCACCAAACATAATGTTTGAACAAATACTTGGGACAACTTACCCAACATAATGTTTGAACAAAAACTTGAGACAACTTACCCAACATAATGTTTGAACAAATACTTGAGACAACTTACCCAACATAATGTTTGAACAAATACTTGAGACAACTTACCCAACATAATGTTTGAACAAACACTTGAGACAACTTACCCAACATAATGTTTGAACAAACACTTGAGAGAACTTACCCAACATATCCAAAGGCATATCCATGTCAGCAGACGTAAACACTTTCCTAGGGAATGAGGTCATCAGGGAGAACTGGCCAGCACCATCTGTTCGGTTGAGTTCAACATACAGTCGCACGGCGCTGAGAGGCTCCTTGCAGCCAAATGTCTGAGTCAGGGTTTGTCCATTGGTCAGACGTATCTGGGTGTATGTGAGGACATGGTACAATGAGGCATATAATGAAACAATGAGGCATATAATGGAATAATGACGCATATAATGGAACAAAGAGGCAGATCATGGAATAATAAGACATATCATGGAACAATGAGGAAGATAATAAACAACGGGAGAAAACAGAAAAATGAGACAACACAGATAACAGAAAAATGAGATTTCATTTGATTTGATTCAAGAACCGACATCACAGCACTCGGTGCATTCCCATAAGCGCTCCATCCCCATCAGCCAGCGAAGAGTTCCGATACTAATGGTGCCAGTAGCATTATGATTAAACGTCTGTCTTGCCTTTCCTCCGAGCCTCGAGCATCTGCAAGAACATTTCATCACTCCCAAATGCACCAATCTCCCCACACTGTGGTGATCAATCTGCTCCTACGAACTGTACAAGCTCTTCCACAAGACACTAACCACGTCTGCATTATCACGCATCAGTATTCCACCAAGCTATGCAGAGCCAGCCAGTCTGTCAGCCTGTTCATTTCCCAACACACCGAAATTCCCTGGCGAAAAAATCAAGACAATACTCCTCACCCGTGTCCTCCGCAGCGAAGCATGCCATACTGCATGAAGCATGCCTGTCCTGATCTTCTTCAGCATGCTTTCTGAGTCAGTTACAATCACGATGTGTGTGTGTGTCGTGTTCTCTAGCCAGCGTGACCACCTCCGCCTCCATTCTCAAGCTGGATGTTGTGGTATCATATGCTAGGCTCTCCTACACCATTAACTTTTGCTAAAAAAACCCAAGCACTTCTTTTGCCTTTTGACACTGAACCGTCTGTGTAAATGTAACTTCCGAGCGAGCATTATCTTGAATCAACTGCTGAATTTCCACCTCTGTGGCACCTGCTGGCCAGTCTCTGCATTCCCGGCTCAGTGTGATTATGACCCTACTACACAAGTCTGACTGTTCAGGTGGCACTTCGACCCACTCCTCGCTGTGTCTAATGTTCTCAAGGATGCAAACCTGTCTGACTGTGTTTTCTGCCTGAGCCATCCTTGACTTCCTTCTTATCAGCCGCTGACCCTTAACTGCACCCAGAGCTTCATGCAAAGGGTGGTTTGTGTCTGCAGCTACCCTGAGATATGACTTCGCCTGCAGCACCTTGTGCCTACCTGCAACAGTCAGCAAACCAAGGATGTATCGCATGCACACCACTGAGGTGTCTCTGGTGCAATCCAGAATGACCCCGCATTGCTGCGTTCTGTATGCGCTCTAGTTTGTCCATCTAACTCTTTGAGATGGTAAGCATTCCCAGGCCATAATCAACCACTGACAGGATCAGGTGTTGAAATAGTGTGAAAAGCATTCTCTGCTCTATGTCAATTGTAGCCATAGTCTTAAGTGCACCAAGTCCTTTTTGGCATCTCGTCACAACACTCTCACATGGTCCTTGAATGACAGGCTCCTGTCAAATGTAATTCCCAGATACTTCAGTTTGCTCTCTCTGTTGATGTTTCTACCATTTATCGTGAGACTTAGGACATAGCTGAACATGGAACAGGGAGGAAGAATCGACCCTTGAGATGTGGACCTATGTTTGAATCTCATTTTAGTTTAAAGATTAGTATGTATTCAAAATTAAATAACTGAAGCAAACCTTTTTTACTTTACTCCCACCAGCAAATGTTATAGGGCATAGATACCAACTGTTTTAACTGCTTGCTGCTTATAAACAGACTGTTTCAGTTAGAAGTTGGTAGTCAACAGACTGTTTCAGTTAGAATTTGGTAGTCAACAGACTGTTTCAGTTAGATGTTGGTAGTCAACAGACTGTTTCAGTTACATGCTGGATATAAGAACTGTTGTTTCAGTTACATGATGGATATAAGAACTGTTGTTTCAGTTACATGATGGATATAAGAACTGTTGTTTCAGTTACATGATGGATATAAGAACTGTTGTTTCAGTTACATGATGGATATAAGAACTGTTGTTTCAACCACATGTTAGATATAAGAATTGTTTCAATCCCATGTTGGATTTAAAGGGTTGGAGATGAATTCTGTTCATTCATATTCAATAGATGTGGATTTCAAGCTGAATGACTGATTTGGCCAATGAAGACAATTTTTAGTAGTACACTTGTTTACATAGCGAAGCACACATGCTCTTTGAAAGTGATTGTTTCGATTCCTGGCAAGGTAACTGTAGCTTTTTGATTTGTATGTTGTCTAGTGTGTCTTTCTATCTTTCTACGAGTGCTAGTCAATACCCTGACCATATATAATGGATATAAGAATTGTTGTTTCAATTACAAGTTATTACAAACATTGCAGATTCAGTTATAAAACACAAGATTTGTCACAGAAAATACCTGCAGTCTACATTCTGTGTACTCTTTCTTTGACGGTGCTTCTGAGGCAGACGGAGAAGCTGGTGAAGCAGACTTTTGGAGTTCCTCTTCCTTTTCTTTAATAAGCTGGAGGTATAGTTTCCAACATTAGTTCAATTACAGACCCAGAGGGAGGGAGGAAAAATGAGAGAGAGAGAGAGAGAGAGAGAGAGAGAGAGAGAGAGAGAGAGAGAGAGAGAGAGAGAGAGAGAGAGAGAAGGGGATAGAGAGAGAGAATATTTGTGTATGCAAGCACATATGAATCAGCTAAAAGATATAGCGAAGAAATGAGTTTCAGGTGAGAGCATTGGGGTCTGAGTTCCATTTGTGGTACAGAAGACCTCCCCCCCCCCCCCACCCCCAACAAGGTGTCCTGCAACTGAGTTTTCTTTAAAATTTTGATTCAATACAGTAACCTACTCCTCCTCCTTCTTCTGAGGTTGTAATCTTCGGCTGAGAGTTCTGGCTGATTGCCCACTTCTGGACTTCAGTATTGTTTCAGAACTAGAGTTTTGGTTGCACATCAGTTTTCCAAACCAGGATAACTGTACAGACTGTTGGTTACTTGCATCTCAGGCAGATGCACTTCAACTTCAAAGTAACACCCCTAATTAATTAGGGGTTCCAGGACCTGAGTTTTGCACTGACAATTGAATGTGTTCTGGTCAAGAAGATATGGACGAGGTTCATTAACCCTTCTAGTTTTGATGTGACGTGGACAAGGTTCATTAACCCTTCTAGTTTTGATGTGACGTGGACAAGGTTCATTAACCCTTCTAGTTTTGATGTGACGTGGACAAAGTTAATAAACCCTTTTAGCTCTGATGTGACATGGGCAAGGTTAATAAACCCTTCTAGTTTTGATGTGATGTGGACAAAGTTAATAAACCCTTTTAGCTCTGATGTGACATGGGCAAGGTTCATAAACCCTTCTAGTTTTAATGTGATGTGGACAAAGTTAATAAACCCTTTTAGCTCTGATGTGACATGGACAAGGTTCATTAACCCTTCTAGTTTTGATGTGACGTGGACAAAGTTAATAAACACTTGAAGCTCTGATGTGACATGGGCGAGGTTCATAAACCCTTCTAGTTTTGATGTGACGTGGACAAAGTTAATAAACCCTTTTAGCTCTGATGTGACATGGGCGAGGTTCATAAACCCTTCGAGCTTTGATGTGATATGGACAAAGAAGACACTCAAACTTTGACACTATGTGTGTGTGTGTATGTGTGTGTGCATGAGTAAGTGCAATTTTTAAATAATTCAAAAATATGCAATTGTGCACATTTAATTAAATTAGTTTTTGACACAAAGAAACAGAAGCTTACTTTTGCTGCACGATCTTTTTTATCTTTCTCAATCTGATCTTTCACCCTCTGCCTGAAGCAAGAATACAAACAATATTTACACAACAACACAAATGTGATGCAATGTGATAGAGCACCTCTCCCGAGGTAGCTGCACATCACATGACATTAAACCTGGCAGCATTTTTAGTTTTGCATTAATTTTACAAATGACCACAGCTGTGACTTGTCCCATTGCTGACAACTAAGGCAAGAATTTTGCCAAAGTCCAGCCCCCTTGGCTCTTGGTATGCTCACAACACTAATTATATACTGAGATAAATAAAAACACACCACCTGTGTAATTAAGGAATGGAGTATAAAATGTAAATATAAGTGTTTACATGTTTACATATTTGAAATTTTTATTCAGTTTCCTTTGAATCTATGATAGAAATTAATTTGTACTTTTGTTTGTTATGACAAATTTATTGCATTCTGTGCAGGCCAGGAAGAAAACCAGAAAATGCAACCAATAAAACAAAAACAATTCATTGGCACTGTCCACAGTATCTGGTATGTGGCCAAACGCAGCGAGCCAAAGAGAGGAGTCGTCTCAGAGAAAAGCTGCCTCATTATAATTGAGTACCAATGTTTTTATGTGGACTAGGTGGCCGAGATTGCCACTCCCACATTGGTCTGTACAGTCACCGCAGACGCTGTTCCCTAACCCAGCGGGACAGCTCCATGGTCCCCAGCGACTGACGGTTGCCTACAAGGTATCAATTAGTGCTAGCTGAAGACCTAAGGAAAGTGTTAATGAGAGAGGTCAAAGGTGCTGCACTGGATTCCATCCATGATACTGAAACAACCGGATAGACAGGAATAGAAGAATAAACTGTGAGCCCTATGTGATGTGGGAGAGCCGTCATGGTGTAGCGGGCAGATGCTCACCTGCGGATCAGAAGGTCATGGGTTCGAATCTGAATGGAGGTGAACTTTTTCTTCTTAAAAAAAATACCTTGGCTCCGAGGTTGACCCAGCCCTGAGAGGGTCCCAGGTAGAATCTTGGGAAGCAAAGGCAGCTGCTGTGATGTTGACCGCAGCACCCAACTGAGTGCCAATTGTTCTACAAAATACAGGCTCAGTTCTGTATGCCCAATATACCTACAGGTGTGGACAAGGGTCCTATGTGATGTATAACGGCAGGACATGATGAGCAAGATACAAAAACAGATGAGATAACTTATCTAAGGAAACCAGAGAGGATTTCAATGTGATTTCAGCAAGAAAGGACATTTAAGAGAACAGATTCAAGGCATTTACTACCACAATGCTACTGGAATGCCCAGTATTTCTGTTTTCTTGTTCATGCACACCGTCTGTAAACCCTGGTGAAAAGTTCTGCTTGTTCCTCCACTTCTGGACTTTAGTCTTGTTCCAGAAGTTGAGTTTTGCATGCACATCTGTTTTACACATCTGGCTAATTTGTATGCTTTATTAATAGAGTCAGATTAAAAGTTATTAATTATATAGACTTTACCCGACTCTACATACATTTTACTCAGTTATACATGTACTTTACCTGACAATACATACACTTTTCACAACTATACATATACTTTACCTGCCTATTCACACATTTTAATTAAACTCAGCTAGAAGGACAAATCAGCGCAATGCTGGCCACATCACTCATCTTGTGCCGATTGGTCTATACAAATATAGGTCTAGCCCTATACGCCTAAAGGCGTGGAAAAGGATCCTTTACTTTTACTTTTTACTTAGAAGGACAAATAATTACACAAGCCTTGGTGATTCATTTAAAATTCTCTTGTTCTATAATTGTTTTTGTGAACTATAAATTGAGCATAAAATGTTACCAAAGTATTAGGCATAAAACATTCTCGCTTCCTGCCCCAAAGTTGCTGAATAAACTGACAGGTAAACACTGTTCTTACCTGGCCAACTTCTCTTCTGCTTTTTCTCTTTTACGTTCCTCAGCAATCTTTCTGAGCTCAGCTTCTTCCAACCTGGCAGGAGAAAAACAAGGCAAAGTGGCATATCTTTTATCATTCAGCTCCAGAAAAAAAGGAAAAACGGCAATATAATGTTTGAATTGTAAGCAAGGAAAGTGTGTAAAAGGGAGAAAAAGGAAGAATAATTCTCAAATTGAAATTCCTGTCTCCTTTATTTAAGCTAATGAAAGTAGATCTCTATATACAACAATAAGAAAGAGACAAACAATGTTCTTTGGCCACATAATGAGAAGAGAGACATTGGAGAACCTCGTAACAACTGGAAAGATAAGTGGAAATAGGGTTAGAGGCAGACCAAGAGAGATGATGCTGGATGAGCTGAAACGATAGCATTGAGGGATATCATCAAGAGAGCTGTTCCAGGCAAACATGGATCGGGATCTGTAGAGACGCATGAGCGCCATGTCAGTTGGCAGTGCACGTGATGATGATGTCTCCTTTATTTAGGAAAGTAATTAATGATAACTATCACTAATCTATCACGAGCACATTATACATTCCTAGAAACAGCATAAAGAACCTATGGCATAGCACATGCAAGCGAGTTCAAATAAACATTCTGAGATCACGCATTTTTCCCATGGCAACTTATGGGTGTGAATTATGGACACTACTGAATCAGCGAGGAGGAAAAACTGAGCCTCTGAAGGGAAGTATTACAGAAAAATTCCCAGAATACCTTTGACCAAAAATAAGAACAAATTGACATCCTACATGATCTGAACATCGAGGAGAATTGCCTCATAAACAGCATCCTGTCGCGAAAGCTGAGGTATTTTGGCCATGTTAAACATAACGGTGGCCTGGAGAGAATGGTAATGGAGGGAATAGTTTCAGGAAAATAAGGCAACCCCTGCGATGGTGGATATAAGATACTGAAGATACACTGACTACAAATGCAGACAGGGCTGGAGAATTGGCTAGAGAAAGAGTGCCGAGACTTTTAGGCATGCCCTGACGAGACTTTCCGGAGTGCCGAGACAAGACTTTTAGGCATGCTCTGATGAGACTTTCCGGAGTGGTGTGACGAAAGCCACTTTCTGTAAAGGACCTGCTGACTGATGATGATCACTAACCAGGGCAGCCGAGGTGGTCGAGTGGCTAGACACTTGCCTGCCAGCTTGAAGGTCTAGGGTTAAAATTCGCCTCAGACAGATTTTAGAAAAACATTACCCTGTCTCCATGGCGACTCTAAACAGAAACATTCCAAGAAGTAAAGGCGGCCGTAATCCCCAGCGAGCATCAAGTGATCTATGAAAACATAGGGCTAGCCCTAGATGCCTGATGCTCCACTAGTAAAAAAATGGTTCTTGACCTCAATTTACTTATCAATAACCACTTCTTCGTGTTCACCGGCTGTAAACTCTAGCAGAAAGTTCTGGGTGTTTGTCCATGTCTGGACTTTAGTTTTGTTCTAGAAAGTGAGTTGTCACCTTCACATTTGTTTCACACATCTGCCTTATGTCTGTAGACTCTTGGTTCCGTCCCTCTGAGGCAGATCTACTCCGACTTCGAAGGATGCTCCCAAGAAGTCGACTCCCACAACATGTTTGTTGAGGAGTCAATGGGAACCCACATGGAAAAATTACCACTTAAAATACAAAGTTGAAACCCCCCCAAAAAAACAACTTAAAAAACCACTTTGAGAACTCACTTCTGCTTAGCCAGTGTCAGATCTTTGCCCTGATACCTCCTCATCTTTTCCCTTTGAACTTGTTCTTTCTTTTCCTGCTCCTCTTTCTCCAATCTCTTCTGCTTTAATCGTTCTTGAAGTCTGAAAAAGATAACAAAATTCAAAATTGACAATGCATTATAGATGTATCCAACATAACATACCGATCAGAGTAGACTCCCGGCTCACTATGAACATCATGTGCCTTCTTAACAGGCATGAGTGACCATCCTTATAAAACTTCAGTTCTGTATTATCATGTTTTAACTGACATCACATCTTATAAAACTTCAGTCCTGTAGCATCATGTTTTAACTGACATCACATCTTATAAAACTTCAGTCCTGTAGCATCATGTATTAAACTGACATCACATCTTATAAAACTTCAGTCCTGTAGCATCATGTATTAAACTGACATCACATCTTATAAAACTTCAGTCCTGTAGCATCATGTATTAAACTGACATCACATCTTATAAAACTTCAGTCCTGTAGCATCATGTTTTAACTGACATCACATCTTATAAAACTTCAGTCCTGTAGCATCATGTTTTAACTGACATCACATCTTATAAAACTTCAGTCCTGTAGCATCATGTTTTAACTGACATCACATCTTATAAAACTTCAGTCCTGTAGCATCATGTATTAAACTGACATCACATCTTATAAAACTTCAGTCCTGTAGCATCATGTTTTAACTGACATCACATCTTATAAAACTTCAGTCCTGTAGCATCATGTATTAAACTGACATCACATCTTATAAAACTTCAGTTCTGTAGCATCATGTATTAAACTGACATCTTCACATGCTTCATTTAGCTCTTTTTCTATGACAAAATGTACCAGCCCACCCCCCCCCCCCCCCCCCCCCCCCCCCCCCCCCCCCCATGATGAGTGCTTCAGATACTGTCCTTTTTTCTTCTGATGGCTGCAACAGGTTTTCTGGTGCTCTGACTTAAATCAGATTACATGTATTACCTATCTGGTATCTATATATATATATATTGTTTTTAAATGTTTTTAAGTTTTTTTTCAAAAATTCAGTTTAATGTATTCAAGTTACTTCAGGTGAATTGCTGACTGGCATGGGAGATCAAGCCTCTCCACAGTCTGTCATCTGCAACTGCGTGTATCAGTTCGTGTGCTGACACCCCTCCATGTCATGACAGAAGGCTGTCAAAAATCTTCTCGTGCTGTCTTTCTGTGTCTCTGTTTCCAGAATTCTTTCCAGTGGTCACAACATGTTCCAATTTTTTTTTTATAACATGACTACAAAATGATGACTGTATCTTTCTTTTTTTTTGTATGTGGATAAGTTGTCCTCAAACTCTTGCCTCTCTAAAAACATCTGGGTTGCTCTTTTTGACAGTCCAAGAAATTCTTAAGATTTTTCTGCAAAACCACATCTCCGAGGCCTCAAGAGATTCTTGGCTTGTTTATTAATTGTCCTGGCTTCACAGCCATATCCTTATGTTAGAACTAGTTGTATATAGCAGGATATAATTGTTTTCCTAAACTCCAAGATTGATTGCATAAAATGTTCCTTTTATAAAATGCAGTTTTAGCCTGTTCTATTTTGTTCTTTATCTCTAATACATCTTCTGTCTGATGACATCTATCTGCAAACATACATACAATTCTGTACATGTTCTAAAATAACACCTTTGACTTTTATTACACATTTAGGCACCAATCTTTGATATTACTATTACTTCTGTCTTCCCATTATTCAAGCCGTGGCTAGTTCACAGAGTTTTGAGATATTTTATAGTGCAGACTGTCCTACCTACTAACTCGCCTCCTCTCAATGACAACCACCAGTGTTAGTCCATGGCTGTTTATTCAATATATATGAGGCTAACCTCTGTATCTAGTGGCCACTTCACCATCCGGTGGATGTGCCCGTTAGGAGACTTTCCTACGACCAGCAGCTACAAGTACCATACTGTCTGAAGAAGCTGTAAAGTAGCAGCTAAAAACTTGCCTGGCATCCTGAAGATCCTGGATTTGAATCTGCACGGAGTTGATTTTTTCCCAAATTGACCATGACTTTAGGGCTAACCCAGCCTAAAACTGTAATCAGGAAATGTCCTGTTCAGTAAAGGCAGCCAAGATGATGCTGACCACATCATTCACCAAATACCAACACAAATATGACTATCATGTGCCCAATATACCATGTGCATTATTAAAGAGCACTTTACTTTGCTCAATTTACTGACCAAACTGTCTAGAACAGACAGGTGTATGTTTAACCAGTTTCTGTGCAACAATTAGAACAAGTTTTGTCAATACAAATTAGAATTCATTGAGGTTACCAACTTTGTGGGCAAATTGCTCTCTATGAGCCCATATTCAGTCCATGAGTGATGAAGTACAGGGGACCTTTCATTTTCACTATGATAACATACAGAAAGAATGACAACATACAGAAAGAATGACAACATCCAGAAAGAATGAAAACATACAGAAAGAATGATAACATACAGAAAGAATGATAACATACAGAAAGAATTATAACATAAAGAAAGAATGACAACATACAGAAAGAATGATAACATACAGAAAGAATGACAACATACAGAAACAATGACAAAGTACAAAAAGAATGACAATATACAGAAAGAATGACAACATACAGAAAGAATGACAACATACAGAAAGAATGACAACATACTTAAAGAATGACAACATACAGAAAGAATGACAACTTACAGAAAGAATGACAACATACTTAAAGAATGAGACAACATACAGAAAGAATGACAACATATAGAAAGAATGAGACAACATTCAGAAACAATGACAACATACAGAAAGAATGACAACATACTTAAAGAATGACAACATACAGAAAGAATGACAACGTACAAAAAGAATGACAAGATACAGAAAGAATGACAACATACTTAAAGAATGAGACATCATACAGAAAGAATGACAACTTACTTTGCCATCTGCTCTTTCTTCTCTTCCTCTGTGAGTGGCTTAATTTCCTCTGTACTCTCCGAGAAGCTTGCATGCTGTGTTCTGGCCGCGTGGGTCTGAACTTCCATCTCATTCCTCAGGATTTTCCCACATCTGCAGAAACAGACAAAAGTTCCTTTTATTTCGTTCTGAACTATACCAATTCTGCAGAAACAGACAAAAGTTCCTTTTATTTCGTTCTGAACTATAACAATTCTGCAGAAACAAACAATAATCCACCTAATTCTACATTAATTTGTGTGGGTTTAAAAAAACAAAAACGGATACCATTGTCAGGTGTTTGATAGCATCGGTTCTGTGGAGTTTTCTGCATGGAGCTCAGGTTTTTTTTGTTTTTGTAAACTAAAATTGTTACTTTATTTGCTACAAAAGATTCATGTTTTAGCTCTGTCAATCAATCAATCCCAGTAGGTTTAGCATTGGAGGACTTAGGTTTGGTTATGCAAGTCGTATAATCGGTGAATCTTGCGTTCACTGGGCTTCTGAATAGAAACCGCATGCAGGATGCACTACTTGGAGCTGAAAGAGTCAATTACTTTGGCTATCACCTGTTTCACCAACTTTTTTCTTATCCTTTCTAACCACAGTATGTTTTCTTTTTGTGTTCATACCACATGCATACCAGCATATACTTTCTTATCATTACCATGTTTAATACCAAGTCTGTTCATTAATATATTTCATGTCAAATTCGAACACATTATGACAACCTGTTACATAAAGTGCCAACGGTCACACCACAACCACATGCTACTATTCACAACTAAGACAGTACTCCACTGTACCTAAGGACAGCAGACTTATCTTATGTAACAGAAAAAAAACAAGTACCTCCCTATCTCTAATGACACCACAAACATTAAATGAAAAAACACTACATTGAATATCACTTACTCATCACATTTCAATGACTTTGCCTGCAAAACTGTTTCACCATCTCCATTGTCTACAGCTTCATCTGGAGTGGCTTCACTTGCCACTGCTGCAGAGTCACTGGAAGGTTCTGCATGACAACAGACACAAACGTAGCATGTGACACAACAGGTAATCAGTACCACATACACACACAGACATAGGAAGTGATCAGTCTCTCCGTCTCACATGTAGGCAGACACACAATCATAAGATATGCTAGAATATGTAACCAATACCACACACACACACAGACACAGGAAGTGATCAGTCTTTCCGTCTCACATGTAGGCAGACACACAATCATAAGATATACTAGAATATGTAACCAATACCACATACACACACAGACACAGGAAGTGATCAGTCTCTCCATCTCACACATAGGCAGACACACAATCATAAGATATGCTAGAATATGTAACCAATACCACATACACACACAGACATAGGAAGTGATCAGTCTCTCCATCTCACATGTAGGCAGACACACAAACATAAGATATGCTAGAATATGTAACCAATACCACATACACACACGGACACAGGAAGTGATCAGTCTCTCCATCTCACACATAGGCAGACACACAATCATAAGATATGCTAGAATATGTAACCAATACCACATACACACACAGACATAGGAAGTGATCAGTCTCTCCATCTCACATGTAGGCAGACACACAAACATAAGATATGCTAGAATATGTAACCAATACCACATACACACACAGACATAGGAAGTGATCAGTCTCTCCATCTCACATGTAGGCAGACACACAAACATAAGATATGCTAGAATACGTAACCAATACCACATACACACACAGACATAGGAAGTGATCAGTCTCTCCATCTCACATGTAGGCAGACACACAAACATAAGATATGCTATAATATGTAACCAATACCACATTCACACACAGACATAGGAAGTGATCAGTCTTTCCGTCTCACATGTAGGCAGACACACAATCATAAGATATGCTAGAATATGTAACCAATACCACACACACACACAGACATAGGAAGTGATCAGTCTCTCCATCTCACATGTAGACAGACACACAAACATAAGATATGCTAGAATACCTAACCAATACCACACACACACACAGACATAGGAAGTGATCAGTCTCTCCATCTCACATGTAGGCAGACACACAAACATAAGATATGCTAGAATACGTAACCAATACCACATACACACACAGACATAGGAAGTGATCAGTCTCTCCATCTCACATGTAGGCAGACACACAAACATAAGATATGTTAGAATATGTAACCAATACCACATACACACACAGACATAGGAAGTGATCAGTCTCTCCATCTCACATGTAGGCAGACACACAAACATAAGATATGTTAGAATATGTAACCAATACCACATACACACACAGACATAGGAAGTGATCAGTCTCTCCATCTCACACATAGGCAGACACACAAACATAAGATATGCTAGAATATGTAACCAATACCACATTCACACACAGACATAGGAAGTGATCAGTCTCTCCATCTCACATGTAGGCAGACACACAAACATAAGATATGCTAGAATACGTAACCAATACCACATACACAGGAAGTAATCAGTCTCTCCATCTCACACATAGGCAGACACACAAACATAAGATATGCTAGAATACGTAATCGATACCAAACAAACACATGATCCAGGATTTCTCTGGAATTTTCAACAATTGATCTCCACACATTTTTCTGGTTGCATCTTGTATGTATTGATCTTCTCTCTGTGAGTTCTGGGGCCACATTAGGAGGTTGTGGGGGGGGGGGGATTAGCTTTTATCCCTGGTCAGTATCACAGAGCACTAAGCTCTCCTGCATCCTGTGGCCATCAAATAATGCAAATGTACATATATATCCACATCAGCTTCCAGGCGTTTTATCTTCCTTCAGCTAGATACTTCATACAACTCTTCCTCTTGATTACCCACCCGTTCAGCAGTTGATGTCATGTCTATCATCACACAGCTTGTTCAGTAGGGCTGCAGTTTCATGAACCCTGGATTGTTTTCAACACACAGTAAACACATAAACAATGAAGAATTTATGTACCCACATAGACAAGATAGAATTAATGTACCCACAAGCACAATCAATAAAGAAATTATATATCCACTCACAAAATAAAGAATTAAACTACCCACACACAGAATAAAGAACTAATATATCCATACAGACAATAAAGAACAAACCCACACACACACACTGAAGAAATATATTGCCACATAAAGAATTAAGCAATCCTTGAGCATGCCTGGGGTAAGAAGAAAGAACAAATACGTATACACACGCTACCTTCACTGAGTATGTGACCTTTAGGTGCTTCAAATGGTTCGTCTATGTCAGGGTCGCCATCATGTGCAAACAGCCTGAGAAATGATTGTGATGTAGTTTATTTTTCAAATGCATACACACAACCATGTAATGGTCAATACAATCATTGTTTGGCTGTTTTCATATGACACTCACACCACAGCTCATGTTTCACAAACAAGTCTTCTCCTGGATTAGGGAAAGAGGCCAGTTTTTCAAACACTTGTCACTGTGTGGGTTCGACACTGATGGTGCAAGCACTGTGTGGGTGCGACACTGATGGTGCATGCACTGTGTGGGTTCGACACTGATGCTGCAAGCATTGTGTGGGTTCGACACTGATGCTGCAAGCACTGTGTGGGTTCGACACTGATGGTGCAAGCACTGTGTGGGTGCGACACTGATGGTGCATGCACTGTGTGGGTTCCATGGCCCCATTCTGAGGGACAGAAACAGACCCACTGCCCCCGTGCCCCGCCAAGCACGTCATAGGAGATGACTACACAGGGGTGTTTCCTTTCAAGGAGGGCATCTGCCTGAGAGGTGAGGAACCAACAGTCTGCAAACAAATAAGCCAAACCTGTAAAATGTATATGCACACAAAATTCAAGTTCTGAAACAAGACTAAGTCCAGAAGTGGATGAACACCAACATTGTCTGCTGGTGGTGACTGCACAGAAGATGAAGAATAAAAAGCTAAGAAAAATGTAAAACAAATTTTAGCCTCACTTGGGGGTGATTGTAAAGGAACATTGGGGGTTAGTCGAAGAAGAGAGGGAAAAAACCTGGAATGAAAACATCAAGAAATGGACAGGATTAATTTATTAAATACTTGTTCAACAAGAGAAAGATGGTGCTTCCATCGATACACTTCCATGTCCCTAATGGGTCAAGGGTTATGCTATGTTATGTAAACAGCCACAATTTAATGCTATATCTTTTCCCACAAAGCCGACAGCTTTTCCCAAACAAACCCTCTTCGAGGTAACAATTTTTTCAGGTTGACTGATAGGTTAAGTTTGGCAGAAAATGTCCGTAATGTTTGTCATTTCTGGCTTGAGTTTCCTTATCTTTCATTATTTGAGTAATATTGACAGCAGATAAATGTTAGTGTTTGCCTTTAGGTATTTTGTTTCTATTTGTATTTTTGATCTTTTCTACAGACTACAAATGCCTAGACATGTGAACTCTTTAGTTTTACATTAGGTTTTTTTTAAATGTGCATATTCAGTGGAGCTCAGAATTGCTGATTCTCTCTGTTTCAGTTTTGTGCTAGATGTGGAAAGTGAATTTATAGTTTTAAAAATATTAATTTTATTCTGATTATAATTTTAAAAAAATGATATTTACAATATCACTGCAGATTAGAGGTTATCTGGAAAAAATATCTAGCAGAGTTATTTAAAAAAAATTCTTTGTGGCAGTCTAACAAAGGACATTAGAAAAATAAAAATAAAACTTGACATACCGAATCATCGAAGCGGAACTTCTTCTTTTTCTTCTCCACCTGGCAATAAAAGGGTCACTGGCATGTTGTTTTCTGGTTTACAGCTGGACTGCTTTTTTGTTTAATGGCCCATTATCATCATCACATTTTCTGCCAAGTGGCATGGGTGATAATGCCTTTTCACAACCTGCGATCTCCAACAGCATGTATCAGTTCCTGTGTTGACAACCCTCCATGCCCAGTTTTAAAAAATCTGTAGAGTCTTCTTCTGCTGTCACTTCGTCTATTTCTCTTTCCAGAAATCTTTCCTGGTCACAACATGTTCCAATTTCAACCCAAAAAATGGGGGGGGGGGGGGGGGGGGGGGGGGGGCTGTTCCCTTCTGATGTTTGTGATAAGTTGTCTTAGGGCCCTCAACTCTTTCCAAATATCTGGGTTACTCTTCCTGGCTGTCCAAGGAACTGTAAGCATCTTTCTGTACATCAATATCTCTAAGGCCTCAAGACACCGTCAGAAAACTCATAATTTGTTCACTTTAAATGACATGCTTGTTGCAGCGGAACCCAGATGGGGACAAAAAGGAACAATCATGATTAAAATGTTGTTGTTTATTGGCATTCACTGGCTGCAAACCCTGGTGGAAAGACCTGACTGTGCATTCATTTGTGGATTTTGGCTTTGTTCCAGGACTTGAGTTTCCCCACAATGGGATGAATAAAAGCAACATGTAAACATATTGACCAGTTACTTTAAAAAAAGTTTGATATAATATTAAGATAGGTGAAAATAAAATGCATGTAACATACCAATCCATTGCCAGTTGTACACCTTTATAGCCTGTCTTAGCAAGAGCTCTTTGTCTGCAAAAGTTTAAAGAATCATTTGACTTCAAGTTATGGAGTATTATTGTTTTATTCACATACATCATAACATGTGGTAAACTGTGTCATATCTTTACCTTCTGTTGATCTTAATATAATGAAAATATAATGAAATATTGGAAGGTATTCATTAGCTACATGGGAAAAGAAAGGCGTAGATACACTGGAAACATGTGAGCAAATAGAAATACAAGCTTAGAATGCTGCAGATCAAGAAGAAGAAAATTATATTCTACAGGAGATGAACATAGAAGCAAAATGTTTAATAAACATCACGTGTTCTTGGACAGTAAAATACTCTGATGATGTGAAATGCTGTAGAAATGTTATAGGAGGAACAGTTCCAGGAAGATGCATAGCTCAACCAGCGAGTATGTGGACACAAGGCATTACAGAGATGTTAGGCATGAAAGTACTTGAGGCAGAGAAGCTGCTAAAGGATCAAGCGTCAAACAGGCAGTGATGGTCTGACATGTCGACTACGTGGTCTTCCCAGTGCAACTGGGATTGTTTCAGAGAAATGAGGATGCTGGGTAGGCTAATTCCTCTGAGGACAACAGTATCAGTGATCTTTTCCTCCCACCTGATGTTAAGCAATTTCTTAAGGCATAAAGGCATACTGTGTGGAAGTGATGGTGCAGGCTGCTGAAAACATTCCGTGTTTTGTAAGCATACCCAAGTATTGGAAGCAAAATTGCTTTGTTGGAAGGCTTATGCTATTTCTGTTCCATGTTCTGACTATAAAGCCAATGCCAGATTCCAGCTTTTTTTAAAGTCTCTGCCACTATAAAAAAATTAGCAACTCCACACAGCTTTCATTCACCGCAGCAACGATTTCACACAGCTTGCATTGACCTTCCAGGTGAGTCTCGCTCAAGGCTAAGACAACAAAAATTTTATACTTTTTTAATTCTCCCCAAGCCAGGGTTGTATATTTTCCAGGTATGTTTCTGTTTTCATGATCAAGTAGCATGTCATATGCCAGGTATTTGCAAAAAAACTAAGTCTTTTTTTATGGTTTCAATGTTAGAACAGGGTACTCGCTATCCGTGGTAAACTAGGGCACCTACTCGAGATCTTTCCTTGTGCCACTGTAAACTAGAGCACCTATTTGAGCTCTTCCCTTGTGCTACTGTAAACTAGGGCACCCATTTGAGCTCTTCCCTTGTGCCGTTGTAAACTAGGGCACCTACTCGAGCTCTTCCCTTGTGCCGTTGTAAACTAGGGCACCTATTTGAGCTCTTCCCTTGTGCCACTGTAAACTAGGGCACCAATTTGAGCTCTTTCCTTGTGCCGTTGTAAACTAGGGCACCTATTTGAGCTCTTCCCTTGTGCCACTGTAAACAAGGGCACCTATTTGAGCTCTTCCCTTGTGCCACTGTAAACTAGGGCACCTATTTGAGCTCCTCCCTTGTGCCACTGTAAACTAGGGCACCTATTTGAGCTCTTTCCTTGTGCTGTTGTAAACTAGGGCACCTATTTGAGTTCTTCCCTTGTGCCATGGAGGTGAACAGTGCTGTCACTCATGGGGCTACTGAAAGCCACTACTAGACTAATCAAACCATATGGTCAGAAGTAAGCAGGTAGGTCCGCAGCTGTGACTGCAAGCGCACTCTCATCTGTCACTCTCCCATCGTCACAGGACTTGACTGCACAAGTCAGATGGATAAATGGGTGAATGACTTGTGTGATGAGTTGGATTTTTGTGAGGAAGATCTGAGCAATGTGCAGATGACATTAACTAACATGAATTCATTAAAGTTTAGTGCTGAGACAAATTAAGATGTTAGAAATCAGACAAAGGTGCGGTAGATAATACATGTGTGTTTTTTGCCTTGCTTTGCTCAAATTTGTCCACAGAGCATGCTAATTATTGGCTTTTTGTCTGGTGTAACATAAGAGGTTTCATCCTTGTGAATATGACAGCATCAGAAAGGATGGAACAACATTAATACTAAATATTTCATTTGTGACGATCTCACATTCACTGTCAGCATCAGCCATGACACTAGTGTATTTAATTCAGTGGTTTAAAGATTGTGTTCAATCATTTAATTTTACAATAATTGGGTGAAGATTAATATACTGTGTCTGCCCTGCAAATTTTTGGCTGGTATCTGAATACCTTGGATGGCCAGAGTAACTAGCAACAATTGCTTGAAAGAAGCTAATGAAAGTAGATCTATATATACAACAACAAGAAAGAGATAAACATTGTTCTTTCGCCATATAATGAGAAGAGAGACATTGGAAAACATCATGACACCTGGAAAGATGAGTGGAAAAAGGGGTAGAGGCAGCCAAGAGAGACAATGCTGGATGGGCTAAAACAATGGCATGGAGGAATATCATAAAGAGAGCTGTTCCAGGCAACCAGGGATCATGACCTGTGGAGACGCAGAAACGCCTATGCCAATTGGCAGGGCACATGATGATGATGATCTGAATTATGTAACTCTATTAGCTTGGTGAAACTATGGGGGTGACTGCAGTCAAGCTAATACAAGGAATTCCATAAAAATTTGACTAAAAAGCTCAACAAAATGGGAAAGAGGAAAACGTGCACAAAACAACACAATGTAACGTTTCGGCCGGGCAGCCTTTTTCAAACACAAGTAAACTACACAAACGAGGAATGGAGAGTATGTAGATCTCTAAGGGGTGACGTGAGCGACGTTTGAAAAAATGTGATGCGGAATAAATGAAATAAAATAAAATAAACGATGGCTAAAAAATATAATATAAAAAATATAAAATAAATACATTTTTTAGCCATCGATTATTTTATTTTATTTCATTTATTCCGCATCACATTTTTTCAAACGTCGCTCACGTCACCCCTTAGAGATCTACATACTCTCCATTCCTCGTTTGTGTAGTTTACTTGTGTTTGAAAAAGGCTGCCTGGCCGAAACGTTACGTTGTGTTGTTTTGTGCACGTTTTCCTCTTTCCCATTTTGTTAAGCTTTTTGGTCAAATTTCTCTGGAATTCTCTATTAGCTTGATATCATGGTTTTTTTAAGGCTATTTTTGAAAAAAAAAGTATGCTAGTTTCTGAGAAAAATTAAAAGTGACTGGCTTCTAACTTGAATATAGTGCTGTCTCCTTTCCCAGTCAGTCAGTCAGAGAGAGAGAGAGAGAGAGGGGGGGGGGAGTCAGAGTGAAAAAGGAAGGGGGGGGGGGAGTGAGGGGTGCAGACAGAGAGCAAGAGAGAGAGAGAAGCAGTCAGTCAAAACGAGTAACACTCTAGCCTACACTACCTTCTCTACAAGAAAAACCACGGGGCACTGGTAAAGTAAAGACCTCATCAAGCGCACCATTTTATTAATGACCCATATAAGAAGATAAACAAGTGCTGATTAGCCGTGATACAACGAATAAGATGACAGCCACACAGGTGCCTGAAACTCACTACTCACTGTAACAGTAACAGAGTGAACGATTATTATCTCAATTATTATATGAGTCACTTCAGTAGACGGAAAACTCAAAGTTACTGAAGTATTGAAGTATAAACAGGTTTCGGAAAATACAACATAAAAGTTTTAACTTAAACAATTGGATCTTACGCTCTGTGAAGAGGGAATCCCATTTCGACCAAGGTGTCGGCGTCTGTGGGCATATTGAAGTTTCCTCAGAAGAAGATGTGGCACACAGGGCTACAACTACAACAGTGGAGACAGAGCTGAGATGGCAACCAGAAATCGCTTCTCTACTGAGATAAAATTGAGTGGTGATGTGTTGTTGGTTTCGTCAGCAGTAGAGAAATGTGTATATTTGCAGGCAAGGTGTGTAAACACTTAGTTGCTAATGGGACGAACGTCGTTTGAATAATATTGTGGGTGGTTATGGGTGCGTGCGTGTGCGCTTGAGTGAGTGGTTGTGAGTACGCATTATGTGCCTTGGATTTTGGCTTTGTCACAGGACCTGAGTTTTTACTAGTGCATCCATTTTACTAATGTGGTTTACTTGTATGCAGACTGTTGGTTCCTTACCAGTGAGACAGATGCACTCTTGACTTTAAAGGAAACACACCAGATTCATCGCCACCTACATCATGCGTATTAAGAGGTGGAGGAGGGGGAATCAGCACAGGGTTGTAGAATGGTTAATTTGATTTGCAAAAGAGTCAAACCGGCTCGACAATCCTGCGACAGTTGAAGTTTTGACAGTCGGTCAGGTCCTTACCAGCATGGGAGTACATGTTATAGCAGACCGGTGTAACCGATACGAGTGCCCAGATTATAAATTCGGAACAATTAACAAAGTCAGGCCGCACACAGGGTGACTTTCCTTTCCATTGATGCCTCGTTGTGGCGCGACGCTTCGGGAGTACGGAAACTGTTATGTTTTTCAATGCCTGCTTGTCTTGTCAGTGCATTCTCTGTCTCTGGGGAGGGGAGGGGGAGAGGAGGGAGTCACCGCCAACGAACGAAGAAAAACAAAAACATCCAACTTTCGATACTCATAAATCGTCGTGCCTGCAGCGCTTCTCCCTGCAGCACTTCTTTCTTGTATATAGGCACCTGGGGCGCCTTAAATAGACTTACGAAACCCCCTCCCCCTCACCACAAACATGATATACGCCGACCGAACGCCAACGCAAACACCCCTGCAACATAGAAGACGCCCTGCGTCACAAAGAGGTATCAATGGGAAGGGAAGTCACTCAGTCTGTGGGCCTGACTTCGTTACATGTAGTTACATTCTGTTGAGTGTGAACGGGTATCTGCCATCCAGAGAGAGATTCTGTAATGTAAATGCGTCAAAACTGTAGGTAGCAGATGATCTTGATCATAATGTGGCAGTCGGAAATCTATGGAAGCCCAAAGGATATCTTGAGTAACTTGGCATAACTGGCCCTGTATGCTGACGATGTTCAGATAGCTGTCTGTGAATGATTGGGGCTAAGCCTTTTCAATTCTGTTTCACGTCCTTAAATGACAAAATCTACCCCCACCCCACCCCCACCCCACACACACACATACACACTTTGTGTATGTCTTGTGTATTTGTGTGTTTCGTCCGGTGAGCTTTCCATTCACACTTCATGTTCATGTCTAAATCCTAAGATGTTAAAAATTTAAAAAAAGGGCGGGTGGGAAGTGGAATTAAAAGACAAATAGTTAAATGGCCTTATGTCTTAGCCACTTAACGAAATCAGAAGGAGGGCATACACATGAAGAGAGACTGCTGGGAGATATCGACACGTGACCGCCGATACTTGTCGGCACGGCACATAACAATATTGTTGATAGATGTTTTTACTATTTGTAGCTCCGTTGTTGTATTTGCTGAGGTCAGCAGATTCCTCAGTTCAGCGTAATAACTTCACAAATTCGCCAAGGAAACACCGGATTGTCTACAAATGGTAGTCACTTTAACAAGAAGACTGAAACATGGAATCTACACGCACAGCTGTCACAAGTTTCAGATTTCAGGCGGGGAATAGTGGCACCTGTTCATCCTTATCTCAACACACCACACATTTCTAGGGTTAGCGAAAATACCTGCATTGTCTTTCTACCTGCCTGTATTGTCTACTTGAGCAAATCTTTAAAGCTGTACATTCTTGGGATGTGTTCTGAAGTGTTTATGTTGGTAAGTGTTCGGTTTAGTACTACTAAGACGAGTTATACTTTTGGGGCTTATAATGAGATAAGTTGCTTGGTTCACTTGTGGTATCCTACTTAATACTCTTCCACTGATGTGTATCTACAGGAGCACAAATCACTTCATACAAAACATTCCAAGTGTTTCAGGTGTCCCACACCTGTGCTAAATCAATCCATGTTTCTGTTTCCAGAAAGCACGTCTTCCTATAATCTGCTTTCTTTAATCTTTAATTTGGCCGAACTATATCAGCTCAGTCGACGTCTGTGGCTAAGACATTTCGAATACACGTGGCCAAAACAATGTTTTCCCGTAATGAATCTAAATAATGCGGACACAAACAATACATTCCACAATTTATTGCCAGACATAATTCGTTCAATCTCGTCAGGTGCGTTACTACAGAGTTACACCTACATAAAATGAAGCAATTCCCAAGTGCTAAGTTCTATCCCAGCTGCAAGTAATTTCGCAGCAGACGATTTTGCTTTGTCTCTGTCTAATTCCTTTTACCCCACCAGGACATCACACAAGCGATAAACATCCGATGACACGAAGTGCCACCATGTGAATGAGGATCATCAGTGGAGAGGTCACAGAAATAGCGTTCTGCCATTAGACCATATTTAGGGCCGTGATATATTGCTGTCGCGGCGTCCGTGGCTAAGGCGTTGCGAGTCGGGGACGTCTTAGGTCGACCCAGCCTAAAATGGGTACCAGGATGGGCTGTCCTGGGAAATTAAAGACAGCCGGCGTAATGCTGACCACATTACCCACAGAGTGCTGATGGTCTGTAAAAATATGGGACGCTCTGCCCATATGCCCGATGCGCTGAAAGGCGTGAAAAGGGATCTTTACTTACTTTTTTTACTTTATATTGCGGTCCCTGGCAAGAGCTAAAATTTGCATCCCAAAAAGAGATGACAAGATATATTATCTTGCTTTCCTTTCGACAGTGGCATCGACCGCTAAGAAGGCAATAGCAAACAACTGAACATAAAATTGCCTAATGAAACCACAGACAAACAAAATTATGGGATTGCTTGTGCAATTTCCTGTTGAAAATACGCAACTACTTTATTATATCAGCTTGTCAAATGTGATTTCATTTACGTGTCAGTTTTCAACGTTCACATCTGTCCAGTAGGGGCACTGTTCTCAGGGCCGTCTTAAGATCATTTTGGGCCACTTGGCAAACCTGTGTGCTGAGTACCCTGCGACAAACTCTCCCGTAAAAAAAAAAAAATGTAATTGAACTCCCATACACAGACTAGTATTGGGCCTTGTATGCACAGACCAGTATTGGGCCCCGTATACACAGACTAGTATTGTGCCTTGTATACACAGACTAGTATTGGGCCTTGTATACACAGACTAGTATTGGGCCTTGTATACACAGACTAGTATTGGGCCTTGTATACACAGACTAGTATTGGGCCTTGTATACACAGACCAGTATTGGGCCTTGTATACACAGACCAGTATTGTGCCTTGTATACACAGACCAGTATTGGGCCTTGTATACACAGACTAGTATTGTGCCTTGTATACACAGACCAGTATTGGGCCTTGTATACACAGACTAGTATTGGGCCTTGTATACACAGACCAGTATTGGGCCTTGTATACACAGACTAGTATTGGGCCTTGTATACACAGACTAGTATTGGGCCTTGTATACACAGACTAGTATTGGGCCTTGTATACACAGACCAGTATTGGGCCTTGTATACACAGACTAGTATTGGGCCTTGTATACACAGACCAGTATTTGGCCTTGTACACACAGACCAGTATTGTGCCTTGTATACACAGACTAGTATTGCGCCCTGTATACACAGACTAGTATTGGGCCTTGTATACACAGACCAGTATTGGGCCTTGTACACACAGACTAGTATTGGGCCTTGTATACACAGACTAGTATTGGGCCTTGTATACACAGACTAGTATTGGGCCTTGTATACACAGACCAGTATGGGGCTTTTATACACAGACTAGTATTGGGCCTTGTATACACAGACTAGTATTGGGCCTCGTACACACAGACTAGTATTGGGCCCTGTATACACAGACCAGTATTGGGCCTTGTATACACAGACTAGTATTGGGCCTTGTATACACAGACCAGTATTGGGCCTTGTATACGCAGACTAGTATTGGGCCCATTTGCAGGTATGGACTCCAGGTAAGTGTTCCTAGTTCCCATACGATAGGACTGCTGGCGTATGGGCCAGCACTGTTCTTGCTTTTGATCCATGACGTTTGTATAGCGTAACGAGCAGATTCTCGCCTGCCTGCGAGGGGGGTAGAGTTCTAATCTGCAGTCAGGCGGATTCTTTTCTGTTTTTAAAACTTACTTCGGCTCCTACGTCAATTCAACTGCAACTTTTTCTACTTCTGCGTTTCTAGCTTCAACTGAGCACAGGCCCTCAACCAAATCACGCCAAATCGCTCTATCTTTTGCCATCGCATGCAGTTTTTCCCACGTCAACCCCATCTTTCTAACTTGATTCTCCAGCTCCCTTCTCCATGTGTGTATGTGTGTTTTTGTGTGTGTGTGTGTGTGTGGCCTTCGTCTATTCCTATGCCCATGTAGGTTCCAGTGCAAAGACATTCTAGTTATATTGTTCTTCGGATATCTCAATGTATGTCCTATCCAACGTTAGCTTCTTTTCTTCGCCTCTTAGTCCCCTGGAGGTTGCTTATTTCTCTCCCAAAGCTCTACATTAGTTATTCTATCATACCATTTAATTACCTCTGTTTTGCGAAGGCACCTCAACTAGGTATTAGGTAATGTCTTGGAAAGTAAAGTCGGTAGGCGTTATGTTAACCACACCACCCAAGACGTGCCGACTGGTCTATACAAACTGGCATAATATGCCGAATACTCGTGGAACAAGAATCCTTTACTGCATGAACAACCGTGGAGGAACAGCAGCCTGGGACAGTGTACTGACTGACTTTCTACCCCACCAGGACATCACACAAGCGACAAACACCCGATGACACAAAGTGCCACCATGTGGATGAGGATCGCCGTGGAGAGGTCCCAGAAACCGCGTTCAGACATTTGGCCATATGTATGACCTGCCTATATTGCGGCCCCTGGCAAAAGCCAGAGTAGGGCTTCAAATGACAAAAAATATCGTCCTAAAAAGGACGAAACTAGTTTAGTAGTGTGTTTAGTGTACATCGAGACCAGGGACAGGAGTTTCGCTACAAGCGAACCTTTCTTGCGGAGATGACACCTAATTGGTTCACTCTAAGCAACAGAATATGAATTATAGCAACAAGGTCGATCATGAAATATAAACAAATATAGACGCATTAAAGTTGTCGATGAAAAACAGCATCTTCATCAATAGAGAGAAATGCTAGGGATACGATTTTGGACAAAGGAGTTGGAGGCGGAAGGTCAAATTGATTGTTTCCCTTTATTCTCCTTCCGGCATTGCTGCCTGACGATTTGACACTAACTGACTCAAGGAGCCACTTTTCGGATACCAATCAAATGAGGAACAAAACTAAACACCCCATTCAACCTTGTAAAACAGTTCTACTGGGACACTCAATGGTGGAGGCTGGAGTGTGTGGGTGGAGAACATTTTGTTTACAACGGCAACTGGAAGTACAGGAACAACACATAAGCGGTATATAATCAACATAATCCGCTCGGCTGCGGATCGGAAAGTCATAGATTTATATAATCCAGTTTCGTCATTTTTAGGACGAATTTTTTTGTTATTTGAAGCCCCACCCTGGCTTTTGCCAGGGGCCGCAATATATGCAGGCCATAAATATGGCCAAGTGTCTGAACGCGGTTTCTGGGACCTCTCCACGGCGATCCTCATCCGCATGGTGGCACTTTGTGTCATCGGGTGTTTATCGCTTGTGTGATGTCCTGGTGGGGTAGAAAGTCAGTCAGTCAGTCAGTCATAGATTCAGGTTCTGATGGTAACGGACTTTTTCAGAAAATGACCTTGGCTCCCAGGTCGACCCAGACTTGAATGGATGCCAGGTAGAGTCCTGGGAAGCAAAGGCGGCCGGCATGATGCTGACTACATCACCCACCTAGTAATGATATGTCTATCAAATATAGGTCTAGCCCTGTAAACCAAATACGTCTGAAAGCGTGAAAAACTTGTCTTTCATTTGACTATTTCAAGACTGACATTATTTTTCAACATTGATATGATGGGTTTTTGGTGAGAATCCCCCCCCCCCCCCCCCCACTCCCCTACCAACATACTGTTACTTTTTTAGATTAATCGGCGTTTAATAAGTGATGTTGTCACCACCACAGAGGCCGCATTTATTTCCCAGGATGTTACCCGGACCGCAAAACAACAAACATATCTAGCCCTAATGTTGAGTCTAGTAGACAATATACATTTCAAGAAGTGTGATGACGTAAATAGGTTTAACTAGGTCAAGCAAATGGTAAGAAGTGACAAACAATGGCTAGAAAGAAGCCCAATGGCTGGAAGGGAAATACAGACAGACACTATCATGTTTCCACCTGACTCGCTATCAATACAGTTAATTAAACCACCGGAAAGGTCACCTTGAAACCGGAAATGCGCATTAAGAGAAAAATTCGACAGGAAGTGCTATTACGAAACGAAACACGAAAAAAAAAAATACTAGGAGGAGTGTGACAATAATTAAATAAAATGTATATAAAGGTGATAATAGATCAGGCTATGTAGTCAAAGCAGCAAATTTCTCGAAATTTACAATTGCAGGCCAAATAGATACAAACAAGGCCCTTCCGTCGGAGCTTACAGCCGGTAAACAAAGAAGAAGAAGGGGAAGAAAATTAGAAGAAGAAAATTAGAAGAAAAAGAAGAAGAAGAAGAAGAAGAAGAAGAAGAAGAAGAAGAAGAAGAAGAAGAAGAAGAAGAAGAAGAAGAAGAAGAAGAAGAAGAAGAAGAAGAAGAAGAAGAAGAAGAAGAAGAAGAAGAAGAAGAAGAAGAAGAAGAAGAAAAAGAAGAAGAAACAAGAAGAAGAAACAAGAAGAAGAAGAAGAATAAAAGAAGAAACAACAAGAAGAAGAACAACAAGAACAACAACAAAAACACGAAGAAAGCTTCATACCGCAGGAGGATACGAGACGGTCGGCTGCAGTTGATTTCCCAAGGATTTTTAGCGAAATCTGACATTTTAATTTTTGTTATAGTGTCTCAGTAACTTAGAGAAGAGTGTACGCGTTTCACAATCCTTAACATATCAGGGTTCTTTTTATAAGACGGGGGGGGGGGGGTGTAAAAAAATGGGGGGGGGGGGGGGGGCTGGGGGCTGGGGGCTGGGCTCGTTCAGTGAAAAGGGAAGTGCAAGAGTTTCGTGCCTAACCAGGCAATATTTCATGAGACAGCAGTGAAAGCACTTCAGCTACCCTCCAGCCTAAAGTCTGCGAAAAAATGTTTCCATGACCTACTTGTATGTTATTCTTCTTTGCTTTTTGGGCGAGGCAGCCCTTTTATAATGTGCGCAAATGATAATGATGATGATAAGTGTGTATTTGACTATGTTACAGCTGATGGTGTCAGTTCCATTCTACCTGGCCAGACTTTTATTGCTAGAAATCCTGGCAGAAAGGCTGTGTAGCGGAGAGCTGATACTGACCCCACATGACCCGGATGTCTTCATGGAGATGTGCCAGGCACAGTACCGGGCCTGGTGCCGTGACCAGGGTGTAGGTTTGGTTACAATATGATCTGTCCAGACCTGGCGGGTGTGCTTGTTATACGAGCATTGTCGTCTGTGTTGGATACGTCAAGGCAGTATGTTCCGTGGAGAGAGAGGGAGAAAGAGTGTGTGTGAGAGAGAGAGAACAGGAGAGAAAGAACGGGAGAGAGAGAGAGAGTGAGAAAGAGAGACGACTGAGAGAGAAAAGCAATCGTGAGCAAATATGTTTGTCTGTATATATTCCGCTAAATACGATACCTAGACGTAGTGCAGTGGCCTGACCAAAAGGCTCCCAAGAATTGTCGGTAATTGTTCCCTGTATATTTCTTCAGTTGTTATATTTTCCATCTGTTATCTTGTTATAATGCGGGGATGGGGCGGGGGGGGGGGGAGGCGAGAAAGAGAGAAAGAGAGCATCATTCGGTTGTGTGATAGATAACTGTTACTTGCATCTGAGTCTCGGTCAACACAATTAGATTATTTATTTTAGTGGTCAGGATGTTGACTACATTCGTCTGTAAATGAGCGACTTCATGAGATGTTGTCTTGTCTGCTACATCATCATCAGGTGCCTTGTCGACTGGCGTGGCATTCCTCTCCATAATCTACGATCTCCTGCAGCATGTATCTATTCGTGTGCCGACACACCTCTATGCCATGCAACAAGACTGTGAAGAATCTTCTCTCGTTGTCTTCTTCTATCCCTCCTTCCACAGATCTTTCCAATGGTCACAACATCTTCTATTTTCCCTCTTCTCATAACATGACTGTCTCCTTCTGATGTCTGTGATTAGCTGTCTTCGGGATCCCGCCGCTTTCAAAACCTCTTGGTTGCTCTTTTTGGCTGTCCACGGTATTTTTTTGTAAAACCACATCTCTGAGGCCTAAATAAATTGTTTGGCCTGCCTACCGATTATCCTGGATTCACAGCCATATGTTAAAACTGTATGTATGTAGTAGGCAAGAATTCTTCTTCTAACTGTCAATGACAAGGATGTATTGCACAAGACGTTCTTCATTTTATAAAATGCAGTTTACTACATGTCTTCCATTTAAAGTCTTATTAATAGTGGTTCTATGCAACATGCTATAATTCTATGTCTCACTTCCTATAACAGGAACCTTATACACGAGATGCTCTTATAAATGCAGTATCTGCTTCACTTACCATATTCTAAAGACGTCACGATACAAGATTAAATTTTTCCTTATTTTATTAAAGCTCTATCCTGGGTGGAGTTGGGGGTCCTAATATAACCTAATCGTTAAACGAGGTGTCTGGGACCTCTCCTCGGGTGATCCGTATCAGCATTGTAGCACTTTGTGTCACCGGGATTTTATGGCTTGGTGGATGCCCTGATGGCATTGAACCTAACTCATTTATTCACTGGCCATGTGCGGCCCGAAGTCGTCATGATCTCCTTTCTCAGTATGTGCCTTACAATGGCAATTAACGACAGTAAAGATATGTTCCTTCTAATTTTCGTTGATACATCTCCCATATGCTATTACCAACATGTCAGATGTCTAGCACACGTGAAGTCTATCGCTTTCACATCCACGCGGTCTCACCTCAGTTAAGTCCAAGTCCAAGTCCTTTTAAGAAAAAAAAAAGAAAAGCTCGACCACGTTCAGACTGCTGCTAGCTAGCCTAGGCTGCTAACAGTCTCCGCCTATATTTGTGGTCTGGGTTATTTGCGTCACTTTCGTGACTGAATACTGGTGTTTGTGCCATTTCTGGCTTAATGCTTCCCTCCGTATCAAACCGCTCGTCCTGTTGTCACTGGTGCAAGTCTTCCTTCTTCATTCGTGGTGTTTCCTGTTTGTTCTGTCTCCCTTGATCTGGCTAGGCGTATCTCGAAGGCGAGCGAGCTTCCAAACACAACGACCTTTCGGCCACCATTTATTGTTTTAAAATTTTGAGTATTTTAATTTTCCAAAAAGTACTGAAAACAGTTTTTGAATGTGAATAGTTCCGAAATGTGAAAATTTTCCGCGTATGACCATAGTGGTCTTATAGTTGTCTTCCTGTAATATGAACGGGTTAGTCATGTATTGGATGTGTGTGGAAGTTTGTGTGGAGTCTTAAGCGAGTCCAGTCGTCATTTGTTATTATGTGATCGGGTTGTGTTGATAGCTAAGCTCCGGTGTACGTAAATACCATATAACCGGACCGTCCAGCTCACGCTTTGAGATCCAAATGATCGGCGATGAGAATTGTTGTGGCATGTTGGGCAACGAACTCAAGTGCTCTCTGTGGGAATGGGTTGGGGGGTTAAACTCATAGTGCATCCGAAAGATTTAGGGAAAGGTGGGGGGAAGGGGAGCGGGAGGTCATTCAGTCAATTCTCGTCGTTGCCGTCTTGCTGGATTCTAGCGTGGCTTTTTGCCGGGACTATGTGTATCATGTTACCAACCTTTGCTATCATCCCAGTGATGGGGTGGTATTGGAGGCTATGCGTTCTAGTCCTGTCATTATCGAGTCACTTGTATTCCCTATTTGCTGTCAGTCATATTTTTGTTATGAGTCCTGTCGGTCATGTGCATGTTGTATGCATGTTGTGGAGTGGGATGGTTTTGTTTATGAATCCCCGGAGTATATGGACGCACCCAACTAGGTGTATGCGTACATGCACTCGAGTACTCATACATGCAGACAACACTACATATTTGTACGTCCTTTCATACTTATCCGTATATGCATACCTAATTGACATTACGTACACACGCAAACTCTTTCATATGCGTTTACCAATGCCTGTGCTTACATTCATTAAAAAAAAAAAAAAAAAACGAGTACATCCTCACGTAGTGATATTCACTCTTCCATGTCTTATGCGTGTTGTGTCGCTTTGTCTGTAATTTCGTCTGGTCGTGTCACTTTTATGTTATGTCCCGTTACTGGTATGTGACCTGTCCGGTACTGACGTATCATGTTTTGGTGGATGGTGTGCGATGACGTTCTTGCTGCTTGCACCCTTCATTCCATTCGTTCTCATTAATGAACAGACATACAGCAACACAGTTTATGGTTTCTTTGATTGCACTGTCATTCATACACTCACAAATATATAAATATACACGCTTTCATATATATACACACATGCACACTCATACCCACATATACATGCCTACAGTAACATTTAAATCCATGTACTCATTCATCTGTACCTTTCGCACAACTATATTCCCCCTGTTCCGTCCTCACATGATTCCGTACCATCCACCTACATACACTGTGTCTTATGTATCCATCCTATACACAAATGCACTCATACTACACGCACTCATCCTTGTGTATGTGTCCATGTTCACATCTATGCACTCATCATACTTACACTATCTCTCTGACTCTATGATGTTCGGGGTTACCATCTCATCAGTTCCTTCTGTTATACTGAGTAAATCCCTAATCTGGTCTTTTTAGTTTTGATTTGTTTTAATAAGGTATTGTTTAACCAGTTTTTGGATGTCTTTATTGCTATCTACATTTAAACATTTGTTTGCAGTAATTTGTTGTTTGCGTTTTAGAAAAAACTCCTCAATGGGTTTCCTTTCCAATTTATATTTAGTGCAGTTTATTATATAATGCTCTAGAGTATTATCTTGAAAGCAGTCCAGACATAGTGGAGATGTAAATTTCTCTGGGTGCCATCCTAATCTAGCTCTCCATAGAAGTTTGTTGGCTGGAATTTTCAGTTTGTCCCGTACCTGTGTGTTAAGGCTGGGCTCTTTAAGGTTATTGTAGGCATCTCTGCCATTATTGCTCCTTTGCCATTGCAGTTTCCACATTTTAATTATATGTCGTTTGATTATGCTGGTCCTTTCTGTTTTTCCAAGTCCTACATCTATTAAAACATCACATTTTGCTCCCTTTTTGGCTGCTATGTCAGCTTTTTCATTGCCAATTACACCTCTGTGTGCTGGTACCCATGCAATGGTGACTTGGCATCCTTTATTCTTGAGCTGAGTTGTTAGGTTTAGGATTGTCTCTTTAATATCTGGTCTACTGTTAGTTTTATGTGTTTTTAACGTCTGCACCGAGGACAATGAATCTGTCAGTATGGTAAATTTAGTTGGAGGTTTATTAATTACCATCTCTAGTGCCTTCATTATGCCGACTAGTTCTGCTGTGCATACTGCCACATGATCTGTTATTTTATATTCTCTTTGTATATTCCACTGTGGGATTATTACTCCTGCTCCTACTTGTCCTGCTTCATTCTTTGATCCGTCAGTGTATGCAACCAGATTGTCTGATCGGATCTGGTCTATGTATTCTTCTGTTATTGCTTTGGCTTCAAATGTTTCAGTATTTTTATTAATAATTTTAATCAGACTCATGTCTGTCCTGGGCAGCTCTAGTCTCCATGGAGGGATTTGAGGGACAAACCTAACGCTTGCCTCTAGAGTCCTAGCTAAGTCCTCATCATCGTTAATTTCTAGTGCAGCGTCCCAGGCTGCTGGTCTCTGTATGTCTCTGACCGGTCTGTCACCTAGGTGGGTAATGTTATGATGAAAAGCGTCTGAAGCTGGGTGTCTGGCATCGTTGGCCGCTTTCATCCAATAGCTATAAGTTAGTTGTTTCCTTCTGAGGTTAAGCGGTGTGATGCCTAGTGCTACCTCCATGGCCTCTCTCGATGTCCCTTTGCCAGCGCCCATGATGGAAGTCAGGGCTTGGCACAGAATCCTATCAAGTTTGCATTTGCTGTTCTCTGATGCTGATTCGTATACTATGCTTCCGTATTCCATTTTGCCCCTAACGAAAGCTTTATAAAATTGTATTAGGGTGTCCTGGTGTGCTCCCCATCCGTTTCCTTTAATCATTCTCAGCATATTGTTGTACTTTGTACACTTTACTACGAGATCATCGATGTGCTTAGTTCAGGTCATTTGCTCATCCAGAATCATTCCTAGAAATTTCGTCGACCGTGTCCGCTGAACTGTTCTGCCATTAATTTGGAGTCTCGTTTCTTCTGGGTCATAATTAAGCTGTCTTTTAAAGTTGAATATCATGCTTACTGTTTTGTCGACGTTGATTTTAAAACCTCAGTTAAGAGCACTGGTGGCAGATAAACATGTGCAAAAGTCAGTCATTCTGGCATATCTGTGAACACTGAGTTTCATTCTGTTGCCAGGCAAACTGCACCAACACAAGCCAGATTCCAGCCAATGCCACTTGGTTGGTCAGATGTGATCAGGCCGATACAAACCAAACTGATACTCACTGCGAGGGAACTTGTTCTTACCTGGCATCTGTGGAAGGTAGGTAGACACAAAGGCGGACCGAGAAAAGGGATGGGGTTACAGACAGAAAGACATATATGGACAGACAGGTGGACAAACAGAGTTGGGTAGACAGGTGGGAAAATATAGATAGATGTGCAACTGACCAGGATATGCCAGGCCAAGGTGGCGTTGCGAAAGATGACACAAGTTAAAGGTGAAAGAGTCTATCTAATTGAACCGGGTGTTATCCCATGGGCCCAGTCTCTCTCGGCAGAACGACTACCGCCTAGCGAGAGTGCCGCACAAAGCATGAACACCGGAGCTCTGGTGACTATTCCCAGTGGTCTCCGAAAAATAGCAGACGTGAACCGAACCTCCTACTTTCAGGGCGGTAGCAAATGGCTTGATCCCTTCGCCACGGAGACCCCATAGGTGAAATAATCATGTTGAACCAATGCTGTTGTATGGTTGCCAATCATGGAATGTGAATGAACAGATAAAGAACGTGGTGGCCGTGGAGATGGGCTTTCTGAGACAATTTTGTCAGTAGGGTGGACAGTCGTAGTGACCAACAACGACTGCTTGAAAGTGGTTAATAAAATTAGAAAACTATACACATTTTCTAAAACACACACACACACACACACACACAATATATATATATATAAAGACACACGCAAAGTGTTGTTCGGTCATGCGCTGAGAGGAAAAGCATTAGAGAATATCGCGATGTCTGGAAAGATCAACAGTAGAAGAGACAGAGGCAGATCAAGAGAAACGGTGCTTGACGAGCCAAAGCGATGGCATGGTGGAATATTATCAGTGGAATTAATCAAAATACTACAGACTGAGATTTAAGAAAGGCATGAGCGCCGACTCTGTCAAACACGGCACACGATGATGATAATATTACAATTGTGGAAAAAAAAAAGTTAAAGATACATAAGCTGTTTCAAAAACTATTCGCAGATGGCTGCAAATTTCTAGACATGCCATTATATTCTTTAATTAGGGTAAGTTTGAGTACACTGAAAATATTGACTGTTTGGGCTCTAAGGTAAACTTCGTGATAGACACAACTATTTTGGGCCTTATTTCAGGATACGTGCCGGAGCAGCCGAACGTGAACATAGACAGGGTTCCTTTGACGCGTGTTGTCGAGCTGAGCTGGAGGGCAGATCCCCAGAGCTTGTCTGAGGTTGTTTATGTAATTGCCAGTAGCCAGGCAAACACTACAGCGACACTTGATATGGTCCAGCTTTCAGAGGTAACTGCCTTCTTTCATGTTCAATAACGGAGTGACAAACTCCCAATCAAAACTATACAACAGGCAAAGGAAGTAGACAATTTTGATAATTAAAAGAAAAAGAAAAGGACAGAGACGACGTGGAGGAGGAGGAAGAAGAAGAAAAAGAAGAAAAACAAGAAGAAGAAGAAGAAGAAGAAGAAGAAGAAGAAGAAGAAGAAGAAGAAGAAGAAGAAGAAGAAGAAGAAGAAGAAGAAGAAGAAGAAGAAGAAGAAGAAGAAGAAGAAGAAGAAGAAGAAGAAGAAGCAGAAGAAGCAGAAGAAGAAGAAGAAGAAGAAGAAGAAGCAGAAGAAGAAGAAGCAGAAGAAGCAGAAGAAGAAGAAGAAGAAGAAGAAGCAGAAGAAGAAGAAGAAGAAGAAGAAGAAGAAGAAGAAGAAGAAGAAGAAGAAGAAGAAGAAGAAGAAGAAGAAGAAGAAGAAGAAGAAGAAGCAGAAGCAGAAGAAGAAGAAGAAGAAGAAGAAGAAGAAGAAGAAGAAGAAGAAGAAGAAGAAGAAGAAGAAGAAGAAGAAGAAGAAGAAGAAGAAGAAGAAGAAGAAGAAGAAAAAGAAGAAGAAGAAGCAGAAGAAGATCTGCTAATAATGTATCTTTTGGTGATAAGTGTTAATGCCAACACGATGTAGGTACACAGCTTGCTAAGCAAACATAGATATCGTGCAACCACAGAAAACGGCGCGTTCACATTGAGAATACATTAACATGTGTAACATTTGATTTCAAACTGATCTGTTTCAGGCTGGCAATGTAACCTACCAGCTGAGAGTCCCTGATATCTGCTGGACACCTGAGATCCGTGTGGCGGCCGTGTCTCAGTTTGGCTCTCGTTGGTTTAGCGATGTCGTTGACATACCAGGTAAAATACCACGGCCACAGTACAGTGCAGACCACTTAAAGCGATTTAGGGTGTGGCGAATTTCCGTTTTCAAAAACAATTTATTTATCCCTGGTAGTATTTCTTGCTCCAATTCTTCTATGGATAAGATGAATTTTTGACATGAAGAACCATTTCTTAGATTCATGGTTAGTTTTCTTTGTCAGGTCCGCACTGTACTCGCTATACAGTGCATTATCATTGTTAGACCAAATGTTCATTTCTTGAGATGATATCTATATGGGATAACAGTGAAAAGGACCATTTTCTCCTCCTTTGGCCGTACTGAGCATATGATGCTGGACTTGATTTACACATCAGTCGGCATTCGGTGGAGTGATGGGATCAAAATCAAGCCGGCCGTTTTTACTTCCCAGGACTCTACCCGGCACCAATTTTAGGTTGGCTCGACCTGGGAACCTAGGTAATTTTTTAAGGGCAAAAAATCCTTTATGGATTTGAACCCATGACACTCGGGTCCGCATTTTACCGTGTATAGAAATGATTCTTTAATGTACCTATGTATACATCTCGTTTAATTTCAGATGTGTTCTTATATTTATTCGCTACTCTACACACTATTATTACACACTAAAAGAAAACTTACGCCACTTCCCCCCACCCACCCGCAGAAATTATCTAAGTACTCGACCCCTCCCTCCTTCAAACTCGCCCCCCGTTGTTTTCTTAGTGTCGACACTCCAAGAGGCCAGCAGACCTATAGTTTGAGAACCTGCATCTTTTATGTAGTCACTGACAAAATCAGTCTCTGGACCGTGTCATCCATTCACAAGAAGACAACATGAACAAATACAGTAAAACACGAGCTTGCTTAAAAAGAACACTAGGTTAACATGAATAAAATGTTGCTATAAGCATTGACATTATTATTAGTACTCGGCCAGCAAGCATTTTTTTTTACACGAACTCGATTTTGTTATATTTCCACAGATTTGATCCCAGGCCCTCCACAAGACATGAACCTGACGTCGCTGAACTTTGACCCGGCTATCGAGGCTGAATTCATCTTTTACACTCTGGAGTGGCGTCCCCCTGATGGTAAAATGTACAGTTTTAGCGTCCATTTTATTTTCATATAAATGCTGCAGACGAATAAGAAAGAACAGGGACTTTGGGGTGAAAATGCTATAGAAAGATTCTCAGATACCATGGATAAAGAAGAGAAGAAATACAGACGTTTTAAAAGATAGAACATTAAGGAAGATTGGTTAGTAAACAGCATCTTGGCTCGGAAGCTGAACTATTTTGGCCATACCCAGCGTCACGGCGGATTGGGGGAAACGTAACAGATGGCAAAGAGAGATGATATTGAGAAAGCTCATAGATACACAAGGAATTAGAGTGGGAGGTTATTATATAAACAACATACGTTACGTAGATGACACAGTTTGGATACCTGAAAATGCTAATGATCTACAACAATTAGAGGACATAGTAACAAGAGGAGAGTGCAACATGGGGGTTGTCCTTGAATGTCAAGAAAACGCAGGTAAAAGTTAGTTCAAAGAAAAGAATACAACCACAGTGGGATATTAGACAGAAGGTAAACAGTTTCTCCAAGTCGATAAATTCAAATATCTGGGTACAATTTTAACATCAGACGGAAGAAGTGTGACAGAAATTAAGAGCAGAATGGGCCAGGCTAAGTCTGTTTTTCACAGAATGAAAAACAACTCGTACAACAGGAAACAGCATCACTATTCCAAAACTACTCCATATCCGGCGTTATCACTTCGTCTTTCTCACACATGTCTGTCTGTTTATCTATCAGTCAGCCAGTCTGCGTGTAGGTTTGCACGTACATTAGTGTGTTTATATATAGACGTAAGTGAGGTAAAAGGTCAAGTCGGGAGATGTAAGCTAGCGTCATTATACACGGTTATAAACCATAAGTGCTCTGCCACCAGTACAGACAGCTGATAGAAACTGTTTGTTTGTGTCACCGTCCACACGAAACTCCGTAGCTACAGCGACGTTCCTCCATTTACCACAGAGTGTTTACTCTGGTTCCCATTACATAGAATACCGGTCGTTCGCTGCAGGATTTAAAAGCGAGTCTCCTATTTACTGCACTAACGCGTATGTATGTACACTGCAGGGTGGTCTTCGCTTGACTTGGAACTAGAGCACAAGTTTGACTACCTGACTGAATGTGTCCAGACACCAGATCTCATCCCTTTGTCTCTCTTCGTAGACAAATTCCAGCGGTTTCCTTCCCAGGTAAATATTTGTCTTTCAAATTACAATATTTTCCTTGTCTTTTTGTTTCCTTTTCCTCACAACCAGCCCATGGACCTAACACACACACACACACACACACACACGTAAACATAAGTACATCCACACACACGCATACGCATATACACACATAAATCTACACACACACAAGAGCACACTACTTCGATTGCATTATTTGTCTTTTGTTGTGTTGACCACTCACTTCACAGAATGCCCCATGGTATATTCCACACACAGATGTCATCGTGACGTTTGCATGACTGACTCCACACATCGCTTGCACGCTCATCTGTCGCCACATTGGTTTCAGCTCCCGGGTCAACTAACTTAAAGTCTGTACCGAGTAATATCTTGGGAAGCAAAGGCGACCAGTGCGATGTTGACCACATCAGCCATCGAGTATCGCTTGGTTTATAAATATCAGTCTAGCATCTTATGGCCGTTGCTATCCCGTGTGAGTTCCAGGGCCCAATTTATTTGAGAGTAGGGGGGGGGGGGGGATAGACCCACATCATTCCTAGCAAACCTGTCGTAAAAGGCGACTAATTAGGGGCGTTTCACTCAAAGTCAGAGTGCATCTACGTGATAGGCAAGGAGCCAACAGTCTTCATACAGAAATGGCACATCTGTAAAATGGATGTGCACGCAAAATTTAGGTTCTGAAACAAGACTGAAGTCTAGAATTTGACAAACAACCAAAACTTTCCGCCAGAGAAATATGCGCCACTGGTCTAGAAATGCTTCCTTTACCGTTGTAGTCACGTCCCTTACCGTTGTAGTCACGTCCCTTACCGTTGTAGTCACGTACCTTACCGTTGTAGTCACGTCCCTTACCGTTGTAATCACGTCCCTTACCGTTGTAGTCACGTCCCTTACCGTTGTAATCACGTCCCTTACCGTTGTAGTCACGTCCCTTACAGTTGTAGTCGCGCCCCTTACTGTTGTAATCACGTCGCTTACCGTTGTAGTCACGTCGTTTACTGTTGTAGTCACGCCCGTTACCGTTGTAGCCACGCCGCTTACCGTTGTAGTCACGCCCCTTACCGTTGTAGCCACGTCGCTTACCGTTGTAGTCACGCCGCTTACCGGTATAGTCACGTCGCTTACCGTTGTGGTCACGTCGCTTACCGTTGTAGTCACGTAGCTTACCGTTGTAGTCACGTCGCTTACCGACTGTATTGCGCACACATGCTAGACCTCTATTTTATGCACCAATCCGCATTGGGCAGGTGATGTGATGAACATCACGCAGTCCGTCTTTACTTCCCATGAATTTACCTGGCACTAATTTAAGGCGGGGTCCATCTAAAGCCAAGGTCATTTTCAAAAAAAAAAGTCTGGCTCCATCAGAATCTGAACTCCCGACCCTCGCATCCACAGGCTAGCTGTCAGAGTAAACATTTTGATATCAGTTTGAGGTTAGATTGACCTGCGATCTCTAGGTAGTGAATAAAGAAAACACCACCTATAACTGCCGTCCGACCCTTTTCCAAACTCTTTGGGCATACAGGGCATATAGGGCTAGATTTATATCTCATAGATAAATCGACACTAGGCGGTGATGTTGTCAACATCACGCTGGCGGCCTTTACTTCCCGGGACTTTTACCTGGTACCCACTCAAGGCTGGGTCGACCTCAGAGTCCAGAGCGCTGTGATGACGCAGTTATAAACACCCTCAGTTTTGACACAATATGGGTAATATGGCTGCCGGCGAAAAACGGATTAGCCATGATGTCATACTGGCGAGGACATTAGCATCGGTGTGGAAACATTTCACATACATGTGTTGGAGTGGAAACATTTCACATACATGTGTTGGAGTGGAAACATTTCACATACATGTGTTGGAGTGGAAACATTTCACATACATGTGTAGAAGTGGAAACATTTCACATACATGTGTTGGAGTGGAAACATTTCACATACATGTGTTGGGCTGGAAACATTTCACATACATGTGCTGGAGTGGAAAAAGTTCATATACATGTGTTGGAGTGAAAACATTTCACATACATGGAGTGGAAACATTTCACATACATGTGTCGGAGTGGAAATATTTCACATTCATGTGTTGGAGTGGAAACATTTCACATACATGGAGTGGAAATATTTCACATACATGTGTTGGAGTGGAAATATTTCACATACATTGAGTGGAAACATTTCACATACATGTGTTAGCAACAATGGTCCTGAAATTCTGGTCACTAACTGTCCAAGATTTTTCTTAACGTTGGCTTGTGTAGCTAGTCACAATCGCCATCACTAGGGCCTGTGGATCCCCTAGCACAGTGTAACCCTATGGTCTGGAAAGGTGAAAAGTTTGCAAGAACAACACGAACTAATTATGATCAATACATGTATTAATATTGAGACATCATGCACTGTCAATACTCCATAATGCACAGTGTTCCCTGGAGAACTATCGTAGATCAATGGTGCACTGAATGTATAGTATCAGGACTAATGAATTTTACTATTGAATGACAACTAGCGTACTTGACGAAACAACCAGTTGACCAACCCGGACTATGTATGCTTATCAACATGCCACGTGATATTGATCCACGCTGTGCTATCATTTATAAATGAAACACCGTAAATATTTGATGTACTAATTTATGTACGTACTTTTGATTATTCCAACACCAGCTATGTAATATTAATCATGTTCCCATATCTACAAGGCACCCTCAAACTCAGCGGCTCAAGGCGCCTTCAGGCTCACAGGCAGGATACCCACAGATGCCATCGGCTGCAACATCACTTTCTCCGTGAGTGCTCGTCTCCTTCTGGCTACTTCTCTCTCTCTCTCTCTCTCTCTCTCTCTCTCTCTCTCTCTCTCTCTCTCTCTCTCTCTCTCTCGTGTGTGTGTTTGTGTGTGGGGGGGGGGGGTGAACAAACATGCTCTATTGATAAAATACACCTGCTGTGTGAAAGATGAGCATCTGGAAGGGCCACATATAAGACGGGCCTGCGTGTCCAATGTGTGACCCTTTGAAAATAAAGTTCCTTTGTTCCTTTTGAAAAAAAAAATAATCATCGTATGTGTTCCTGTGTCGGAGTTTCTTCGTATTTTTTTAAAGGCGAACTGCTCCACAACAAGCATGTCATAAGAAACGTCAAATAAGGGATTTGCTTGAATCGGATGTGTTGGCCCAAATGGCGCAGATACCCCAGCCTAGCTTTGAACCACAACCCAGCGTGGCAACCGCTCGTTCAAGTGTGAACCAGAAGCTTTGATTGATCTTAGCAGTATCAAAAAATGTTTTGGTCATCCTCTGTGCCTGGGCCAATCTCCAGCCCTCTCTAGATTGTCTCGCTGCTAGGTCAAGCTGTACATCTCCAAGAGAGTCCGACACATTGCGTCAGTACCTCCTCTTGTAAACCCGAGTGAGGTCAAACAAACGTTAGTCTCCCCACATAAGATAGGTCACGTTCGACTGATAACTTTGCTAGACTGGTCTAACCTGCTGGACGTTACAGGTGTGCCGCTTTGTTGTTTGCTTTCTGTGATGTCTTGCATTTACTTTTTTATTCCGAGAAAGAGAATGTCTGTGACATAAGTTTCAGCACTCTCTGAAGGGGTTGTGTGTTAGACCCAGTTTGTCGATGTTTTTGTAGTGTTAAAGGCGCTGGAATGTTGAAATATAGAAGACGAAATATCAACGGCATTACCTTGTGCCAAGGACAGGTGGCTCAAGGTCAACCAATCAGAAGTAGAACAGTTGGAAGTGAGCTAGTGTGTAAATAGGTGGTCCGTGGGGAGACTAACGTTTCTATAACCACCACCCCCCCCCCCCCCACGAGTGATAACACGAGTCACTCTCACGGTAGGTCACAGTCAACCGTTTAAATTTAAAAACAACAAATACGTCACGTGTTTTCTTGTCTATAGTCCATATCGTGTGTCGTATCTGTTTCTCTACAACCTTCCGTCTTGTGTATAGCCAACTTTTCTGCTACATATACAACTGAAGTAAAAGTAAAGGACCCTTTCTCGTGACTCTAGGTTTACTAGGCATATAGGGCTAGACCTATATTTTATAGACCACTAGGCACTTAGTGGGTGATGTGGTCAACATCAACTGACCGCCTTTACTTCCCAGGACTGTACCTGACACCCATTTAAGGCTGGGTTCACCGAGATGCCAAGGTCCATTTTGAAAAATGTCCGGCTTCGTCAGGGCTTGAACCCGAGACCTTCATATGCTCAGATGAGAGTCTAACCGCTAGACCAAGACGGTTGCCTCGGTTACACGTGTTCTTCTTGCACTTGTCCATGTCATGCTATCAGAAGGAGCCAGTCATAATTCTATGTCCTGTTGAAAGCAGAGGAACATTAGAACATGTTGTGACCACTGGAAAGATTTGTGGAAAGAGAGATACTGGAAGTCAACTCAAAACCACTCTTGACAGTCTTTTGCCATGTCATGGAGTAGTGTTAGCAGATGAGCTTGGAGATCGCAGGTTGTGGAGAGGCATGATCGCCCATGGAAGTTGACGAGCCATTTGAGGATGATAGTGAACGTGATAGTCCCTCGTCGTCTAACAGCATTTCTCGTAGGTTCCTGCTGCTTTTTTTCCCCTCAGACTTTCCTGGTTTTACTAAAATCCCCCCTTTTTTTCTGAAGGACGCGAAGAGAGTTAAGTAGAAAAATATACTATTTTATGTTAGCTGAAAGAGACATTTTGTTCGAAACATTTTGTTTTGTATGTATACTTGTATGTGAGTGATTGAATGAGTGAGTGAGTGAGTGAGTGAGTGAGTGAGTGTGTGTGTGGAAGAAGAAGAAGAAAGAGAAGAAGGAGAAGAAGAAAAGAAGAGGAGGGGGGAGGAAGAGAAGAAGAAGAAGAACAGCAATAACAACTACAATAACAACACTGTATAAAAAAAATGTATTCACTAGCAGAAGGGAGAAAAACACTGTTAATTGTTTATTTAAAGATCATCTGCATCGCACATCGGACATGACCATACGTATTCCTTTCTCCTCCTGAGTATGTCTCTAAAGTATTTTTATCCTAACAATTCCCATTCTCTTCTGGCTGATGTAACGACATGTTGCTCCCGCTTGGCTTTCCTGTCTTGCTGATCCAGCTGGTACACCCAGGGTATGCAGTTTTCATGGAAGAATCAATTTTTGCCGTATTGAAATCTTCACGTTTCCTCTTTCTTATGGCATTGATGATGTCTTCTGTCCACTGTTAACCAATTCTTAACAGTCGCACTATCAGCCAGGGCGTCTGCTCTCTCATTGCCTTACAAACCAGCATTGTCTAGGACAAACATGAAGGAGATTTTGCGAATATCTGCTTGCTGTATCAGAAGGATCCACAAAAAGAACAAAACAAGCACCACTAATTCAGTATGTTTTTCCCTCATCAGATCAGAGCTATTTCTCGCTGTAGTGATGCTGCAGTTGGAGCAGAAGGACGCCACAGTTTGAACTTGAGTGAGTGGTGTATTCGTTAATGGTAATTGTGTCCTGTTTCACTCTCTCCTCGCCCGTGCTCCCAACCTTCACCCTCCCCCGTGCTCCCAACCTCCACCCCCCCCCGTGCTCCCAACCCCCCCCCCCCCGTGCTCCCAACCTCCCCCCCCCGTGCTCCCAACCGCCCCCCCCCCGTGCTCCCAACCTCCACCCCCCCCCCCTGTGCTCCCAACCTCCACCCCCCCCCCCCGTGCTCGCAACCTCCACCCCCGCCCCCACCAAATGTAGGCCTTTATTGAACCCTATGCCACGCACTCTTCACCACAAAACTGCATATATATTGGCCGTGCTGCTTGCAAATGCGTGTATAATATCAAAGGATTCCTTCAGTTTGCTCATGAAATAAAATAAATCTCAGCGTATCGAGTTTATACCATCCACTTTTACTTTTGTGTTTGTCTCTGTATTTCTGGCTGTCAATGTGTTTGTCTATATGTCTGTATAAAGAAGAAATAGAAGAGGAACTGCTGCTGCTACTGCTACTACCACTACCACTACTACTACTATTACTATCACTAGTAGTAGTAGTAGTGGTGGTGTTGGTAGTGGTATTGATGGTAGTGGTGGTGTTGGTGGTGGTATTGATGGTAGTGAGTGGTGGAAGTAATATATATATATGAGATACCCTCTAAATCAGTGGTGTCTGTCTCAATGTCTGGATGCCTGTCTGTATGTATTCCGTGAGTATGAGTAAGTAAAATAAACACGACGACCCTGTCGGCGCTTTGAGGAATACTGAGTATTTGATGTTTAGCCCCCCCCCCCCCCCCCCACCCTCCCCCATGTTTAAAGCAGATCACTATTCAATGAGCTGCTCTTTGCCGACGATCAATGCATATTTCACAGTGATAGTAAACAGCTGCAAGACCACATGAACCTACTACACGACAGTTGCCTCAAGCATCATATGAAGATCAATACTGAAAAGACAGAAGTCATGAGCATAAGTAGAGAGCAACAGACCATCGACATAAAGATTCTAGATCACAGCCTAAAACAAGTGCAAGAATTTAAATACTTGGGAAGTATCTTTACATCCAATGGTAAAATAGACAGAGAGATCGAAGCAAGAATCCAACAAGCCAACAATGTCGCATACCAGCTTGCCCCAATTTTAAAACACCCTGCTGTCCCAGCTGAGATAAAAAGACAAATTATAAATACAATCTTTATACCGACATTAGGTTATCAATGTCAGACTTGGACATTAACAAAAGAACACGAGAGAAGACTAACCACCTGTGAAATGAGATGTTTGAGAATGGCTGCGAATAAAACCAGAAGAGATCGAGTGAGAAACGATGTGATTACAAGAACTATTGGAACCATTCCCATCGTTAAATTTATTGAGAAGCAAAGAATGAAATGGTTTGGTCACCTAATGAGAATGGAACCAACGATGCCAGCATCAAGAGCATACAACATGAAAATCGAAACACCAAGAGGCAGGGGAAGACCAAGAAGAAGATGGATTGAAGGAGTCAAGGACAACTTGAGACTTCATAACATCACGGCATATGAAGCGACTGAGCGCGCCCTGGCTCGGTTGCCGATCATCTAATAGACTGCGACGCCTAGCGGCACAAGCAGATTTTGACAAAAGAAGAAAAGACTATTCGATGAGTTAAAATTGCCACCTCTCTGTAACATCGACGACGAACTGTCAAAACCAATCGTTGAATTAGGATTTTCCTACATGTGAAGGCTGGGCCCATTTAATTGGGAAGATGAAATGTCCAATGATTTACTGGAGGAAAATACTACCAGCCTCTCTCTGTGGAGCCATGACAGCAGAGAGCACCAAAACAGTCTTGTTCATCCCCTGTGTCCGAACCCATCTCCAGCCCTCTTTGTTTCTGCTATAGTCCGCTCCAAAAGTCGTGTCCTCAAACTTTAACGAATATCTCTAAAAACACCTACAGCGATTAACATGAAGTTTTGCGCGTGGTCTTAAATATCCCATGTCCTTATGATTTCACAGATTGCAGAGATGCCTCAGTTTTCTTACAGCAGCAAACTTCTTTGATCTTTGTCGAACGGTTACTGAGTCAAAGATTGTTAAAATTGGAAAAGGCTGTAGATCTTCTGGCTATCCTCCGAATAACGATCCCAAATTATCGAGGCCGAATATATACCCTAACAGGGCCTAAGTCACATGTAAATTGCGTACTTCCGGCGACTACCGCCCCCACCTAGAGTATCTCGCACGCCGCTACGCGCTTATGATGGCTAGTACTCACGAGCAAATAAGATTAAGGAAGCTGCAGGAGATGCGGTAGCTGCTGCTCGTGAGTCCCAGCCATCTAGTTTAGCCCCGCTCCACGCCACGCCATCGGATGGCGTGAGAGATACTCTCTGCGGTGACGGTAGTCGCCGGAAGTTCGCAATTGAAGTCACCGGAAGTTCGCAATTTACATGTGACTGAGGCCCTGATAGGTTACTTTTTCGGCCTCGATAATTTGGGACCGTTATTCGGAGAATAGCCGATCTTTTTTTTTTTCTTCGCATCATCGAGCTTTAAACTCCGAAGGAGAGTTCTGATTATTAGTCCACCTCTGGACTTTAGTCTGGATCCAGAACTTGAGCGTTGCACGCACATCCGTTTCATACTTCTTCACTATCTGTGTGCAGATTGTTGGTTCCTTGTCTCGAGCTGATGCATTATGACTTCGAAGAATGCCTCAGTACTCTACCGTTAAGACATGCCCCAGAACCCACACGTGGAACTATAGGTCAAGTTAAACAGTTCTAGAGAGGTTGACACATTGCACCAAACTCTAGAGAGGCTGACACATTGTGCCAAACTCTAGAGAGGTTGACACATTGCACTAAACTCTAGAGAGGATGACACACTGCACCAGACTCTAGAGATGCTGACACACAGCACCAAACTCTAGAGTGGCTGACACATTGCACCAAACTCTAGAGAGGATGACACATTGCACCACACTCTAGAGAGGATGACGCACTGCACCAAACTCTAGAGTGGCTGACACATTGCACCAAACTTTAGAGAGGCTGAGACATTGCACCAAACTCTAGAGAGGCTGACACACAGCACCAAACTCTAGAGTGGCTGACACATTGCACCACACTCTAGAGAGGATGACACATTGCACCACACTCTAGAGAGGATGACACACTGCACCAAACTCTAGAGAGGATGACACAGCACCAAACTCTAGAGAGGCTGACACACAGCACCAAACTCTAGAGAGGATGACACACAGCACCACACTCTAGAGAGGATGACACACAGCACCAAACTCTAGAGAGGCTGACACACAGCACCAAACTCTAGAGAGGATGACACATTGCACCACACTCTAGAGAGGATGACACACAGAACCACTCTTCCTCATATAACTCCAACTGATGTCGTAAGTTACTCTCATTTTATTCTGGATCTCATATGACGAATTGTCGTAATCTGTTGTGACCATTGCGTTTATTTATCCCTTTTCGTATTTACTTTGATACATTTATATTAGAAAGGACAAGAAGTTGACTCAGGATGAAGAAACAGATAATGATGTTATTTTTTGCTTCCATAGGTTGTGATAAAGTGCCTGGCTATAGAGGCAAGAGCTGTGGACCTTCCTCGGGTAGGTGACCAGTATGATGATGGTGATGTTGATGATGATGATAATAATGAGACAATAACAAAGAATGTTTTTAAAGAATGGTTACATTTCTGTTCTATAATGTTGACTTTGGCATCTTTATCAGAATTCACCCTCTTTGATTGATTTGTGTGACTAAGAAGGAAAAATTAGTACAAATTGTGAGTGCGTGCGTGTATGTGTGTGTGTATGTGTGTAAGTGAGTGTTTGTGCGTGTGCGTGTGTGTATATTTAAACAATGGTACATATTTTCAACAAAGGAGATTTTTGAGTGTAACGTCTAATCAGGGGATCTGGCCGATGCCCAACACTCAAGGGAAAGGCGAAACGGATGTAGAATCAGACAGTTACTGATGCCATCGGAATCGGAACTCCTTGTTTACTGCTGAAGATGGGGACGGACCGCTTAAAAGAGTGTCCCGAGTGCTATGATGTCGATTCTTAATTCAACAATCGACATTTAACATTCAAGTCTAGTCTTTGCATTTCATAAATTATAGTACGGTTAAAATAATATGTTTCTTGCGAACCGCGTGTGTTCAAAAAGGAAAGCCAGATTAACTGTTGAGACAATGAGAGAGGTGTCAAACATAGTATCATTAACTGTTGAGACAATGAGAGAGGTGTCAAACATAGTATCATTAACTGTTGAGACAATGAGAGAGGTGTCAAACATAGTATCATTAACTGTTGAGACAATGAGAGAGGTGTCAAACATAGTATCATTAACTGTTGAGACAATGAGAGAGGTGTCAAACATAGTATCATTAACTGTTGAGACAATGAGAGAGGTGTCAAACATGAACGCCCAGAAGAGGAAGATGACGGAATACAATAAGTTAATCATTTCATTAACCATTGTATTTATCTCCCCTCAACCTTCCCAAAGTTGTCTTCCCCGGGCCGGTCAATGACGCCAGGTTTGTGATTGTTCCTGATGCAGAAGGCTTGCTGGGTCTGGTATCATGGCGACCCCCAGACAGCATGGGATCCTTCAACAACCTGGACTCCTACCACGTGTTCTGGGGAATCATGGATCTCATGAACTCTGACCCCATCGCCCAGTTGACAGATTTACTGGGGCATGCCGCAGTGCCAGGTGTAAGTTCACTTATTGTTTGTTGTCTGTTGCTGCAACTAAGTCTGTGTCTTGGATGTGTGTGTGTGTGTTTGTGTGTGTGTGTGTGCGCGCGCGCGCGCGTGTGTATGAAGGATCCTTGGGTGTACACAGATCAGACAAAATTGTTTCGGTTGTCTCCCATAGTAGAGTACGTTATCATACCTCTTACCATGTCTAGACTTAAGTTACGTGGTAACCGTCCGGGGTCCAAATATAACCTCACAGTTGGACTGGCTTTCTGGGACTGTACCCGGAGAGTGGGGGGGGGGGGGGGCATCTCTGGGTCACAAGGTGGTAATCGCTAAGTATTTGCTCCTACAGGGCTCACCGTCTTTCACTCACTCCCATAGATCACGAATGTCAGCAATGTTCAAGATATCTTATGATCTTATCATCGGGGAAAGATTTGTGTTGTGTATGCCGGGTTGGGAGTTATTTTGTGGGTATGTTTCCTAATTTTTACTTTTTTTAAAACTTTTTTTTAAACGTTTCTAGAAAAACTGATAATTACGTGTTACATTTTACGGAACTATCAGAACTGACAATAACATACTTCACATGCGAACGAAAATAGAATCGACAAGAAAACAGAGAGTGTTACCACGAAATGCATAGCTTTTTGCATGTTGATTTGTTCAGCTTTTGTGTCATATCCTATGCATTTGAACAAAGAAGAAACAAACAATAGATTGCACAATTTATTGCCTAGCATATGTAGCTGTATCTCGTCAGGTACATACTACAGTAACAATTGATTAAAAAAACCCAAATAAGTGAGTTCTTCGAACTGAAAAAAAATTGACTACATTCCAGAAACTGTTTCATCAGAGTAAACACAGGGTGAGGAGCGTGTCCTTTTGTCTGCATAATTCTGGAGTGAAACGGTTTATCGCTGCCGCTTCCACAAATCACAATATTCTATGGTTGGTCTAAGTCTAAATAATTCAAAATGCATCTTCTCTGTTTACAGTGTGCCTGGAGTCAGAAATATGACACGCAATGGCTGATAGTGATTTTATTTTTGTTTTTTGATGACCAATTACCTGATTTGCTGTTGTTGCGTTGTTGTTAGTGTTTTGCATTGCTTTTACCACTTTTAGTGGAATATGTTCGGCCGCCCGATTCTCCGGTCGTTCCCACATTTGCAGCATTAGAGATTCTAATCAATTGTTACTGTAGTATGCACCTGACGAGATACAGCGAAATATGCCAGGCAATTTATCGTGCAGTCTATTGTTTTGTCTTCTGTGTGCAAATTTCACTACTGAAAAATATTGCTTTGAATAGACTTTGTAGTGAAGATATTTCGGCGTAGACTAAAAACTTTGCTAGATATGATCTAGGACAGTTTGAATTCAGTGACAGGCCACAGACTGTTATTTATCTCCAGACGAAGCTGGAGGCCGATCTGAATTTAAATGTAACCTGGCTCCACCCAGAGGAGACCGTTGGGGTCATGGTAGGTTGCTTGTTGCAGACTAATGTTTATGTCGTTTCTTTCTTTCTTTTTCCTTTTTTCTTGCTTTCTTTCTAGCTTTCTTTCTTTCTTTCTTTCTTTCTTTCTTTCTTTCTTTCTTTCTTTCTTTCTTTCTTTCTTTCTTTCTTTCTTTCTTTCTTTCTTTCTTTCTTTCTTTCTTTCTTTCTTTCTTTCTTTCTTTCTTTCTTTCTTTCTTTCTTTCTTGCTTTCTTGCTTTCTTTCTTTCTTTCTTTCTTTCTTTCTTTCTTTTTCTTTCTTTCTTTCTTTCTTTCTTTCTTTCTTTCTTGCTTTCTTTCTTTTTTTTCGTTTTTTTTCTATCACGCTATGGTTGTTGTTGTTGTTGTTGTTCTTCTTCTTCTTTTTTCTTCTTCTTCATCTTGTTTTACATCATCCTTATCTTTCTCCTCTTTTGTAACTGTTTTGATATTGTTGTTGTCCAGTGGCCTAAACACATCATGTCTGTTTATAACCTGCCTAATGTGATCGATCTGGCTGCCTCCCAGAGTCTCCATTCCGACTGATATGCTGGACATAATGGCCACGTCACAGAAGTATTTCAGTTCTTGCACTTGTTTGTTGTGTTCGCATCCATCTGTTGAAAGCATGCGTGTTCACTGTAGCACCATACGAATGTCAGTCACGGACTGTCTGGAAGTCAGTGAGGAAGCCTATACGACGAGCTTTTGAGCTGAAATTCCGTAGACAGATTCTCAGAATGACCAAGAAAAGAAAAGAAACATACAGACATCCTAACAGATGTAAACATCAAGGGATGATTGGCTAGTCAACGGCATCAGATGACCGCAGAAAGTGACATACTATGGCCATCACGAGCCAAGGTGGATTCAACAGAATAGTGGCAGAAGGTATGGTAACAGGGGAGAGGGAAAAGGCCCCACCAAAATGCAAATGGGCTCAGGATAAAAGTGACTCACTTTTTTTTTTAGCAAAGGGCACGAGGCGAGAGAGTTGGTTAGAGTTTCTGCCAGGCGGGCTGTGTTAAGAGCGACGTTCTGTAAAGGACAAGCTACATAATGATGATGATGTACTTTGTTTATTTCATTACCACCGACATTAACATGTAGGTTACTGTTTTTTTTTTTCATCTGATCTGATAAGCTCAGTTTTCTAAGTCTTTTTTTCCATGTCACATTTCGTGCAGGTTTACGAAGCCGGACTTTCTTCACAAACGATCTCGGCTCTTAACTCGACCGAGCTTTAAATGGGTACCTGGTGAACTTTTTGGAAGTAAAGGCGGCCAAATCATCCACCGAGTGCCGATTGACCTATAAAATATAGGTCTAACCCTATATGCCTAAAACGCATCAAAACGTGGCAAAGTGTAGTTTCACTTTTACTTTGTGCATGTATGATACAGGGAGTCATTATGATATTGTAGGCAAAATTCTTGTGAGACACATAAACTACACAAATGAGGCAACAACTACAGTAGATGGGCCACGTTTGCAACATGGCGGTGGCTAGAGACAAGGACGTGATTTTCTGAGAGGAGAGCGCCAGGAAGTGACTTTACTAGCGGGAATAATCACCAGGAAGGGGAAGGTTAACGTAATTGTGACCGAAATTTCATTTCCATACTATCAGATCACAGCCGCGGGTCAAGGTCAGGTCATAGATTTGCCATTCAGTGACATCTACGTACCGGCCAATGGTATTACTTCAACAACACAGCCAGGTATCTGTCTGTCTGTCTGTCTGTCTGTCTGCATCCGTCACTCCATTCATCATCCATCCATCCATCCATCCATCCATCCATCCATCCATTCATCCACTATTTAATTCATCCATTCATCCACCGACCATCCATCTACTCTTTTATTCATCCATCCATATAACCCACCATCCATCCACTCTTTCATCCATCTATCCATTCATCCATCCATCCACCCACCATCTATCCACTCTTTCATCCACTCCTCCATCCATCCACCATCCATCCACTCTTTCATCCATCCATCCACTCTTACATCCATCTTTTTCATCTATCCATCCATCCATCTATCCATCCACCCTCCATCCATCCAATCTTTCATCTACCCATCCATCCATCCATCCATCCATTCAGTTGCCTACTTGTCTTTCTGTCTACGTACCTTTCCTTCGGTCTACATAGCTACCTTTTAGAGTGACTCTCTTGTTTGTCTGTCTAGATTAATGTGTATCCATATGTCAGTCTGTCTCTGCCGTGTATGTGTATATATGTATTTGTGTTGTCCCGCAGGGACAATAATTGCAGATGACGATATCATAATTGTACTAGAACGAGTCACGGATCAGTCCTGCTGTGCGGACATTTTCTGGCGCCGAACTGGAGTAGGTGACGAAGACAACCTGGCTGTGAGCTACGACATACAGTGGGGCTTGCTGTTTGGCGGCGACAACATCACAGACGCAACAGCTGCTTTTATACCGATAAACACTACAAGGGTTGAACAGGCAAGTGAGTTTTTGTTTTTTGTTTTTTTATTAACTAATTCTTGACAGACTCCATTTTGTCTGTGCTTCAATTCTCCTGCTTGTTACAGGCTCAGCAGATTCTGTCCGGTACTCTTCTACTGAAAGTCCTATACTTGGCCTTGTGTAAGTTTACGTTGCTACAGCTACACAATCTGAGATCTAAGAAACCAATAACATACGGGTCGTCACTGGACAGTTTTTAAACAACCTGTTTATGAAAAGGTATTCCAATCGTATCATAAAATTAAACAACATTGGCTAACAACACAAAGAATGAAAGATTCATCAGTGTTGTGTGCTAATTCACTTTAGTAAGCAAGTATGATAGAGGTCAGAAAGTGTGGCTGGGCACATTGATATTTGCATATTGATATGGTTGACGAAATGAGAGTGGATGTACGAGCCACTGGAGGTTTGTGAAACATGTATCGTCTGAAATTCACGGGCAGCTGCAAGGGAAGTGTGAGATCCACGCGAAACAAACCGCTGATAAAAAAGAAAAAAAACGATAGAAGTAACGTTGTAATCCGCAAACTCCTTCATGTCGTCGCGTGACATTTAGTGATCTTCCATTCATGCCTTTGACAGCCTTCACTATCTTCTAGGCGTGTGACATTGTGTTATTGTCAACGATCTAAGCATTCTGTATCCCAAATTGTGAGCCGTTTTAACACCTTCAAAGCATCTAAAACTGGCCCTAACCAACCCCACCCCACAGGCCCACCCTACGTCCCACGGGAGAGTGCCGCCTACGTTACACGACTGCATGCAGCCTAGGTCCCACGGGTGTATGCAGCCTCATTTCCAATGGAGTATGCAGCTCGTCCACGAGTGTATTTCGCGTAGTTATCACGAATGAATGCGCGACGCATGCAGAGAGCGGCAACGGAGAGAAACAATAGGCAGACTCGAACGCATAGATATCTACTGGATTTGTGGTGTGTAGAGACGGCGACACACGGAAACGAACGCATATGCTAAAACCCCTAGAAGATAATGAAGCACGTATGAAAGGTGATAAAGCATAAATGAAAGGGACAACAAATCTCGCGCGACGACGTGAAGTGTTTGTTTGCGGACAGAAACGTTACTCGAACCGAAAAACCCAGTGGCAGTTTGATTCAACAGCTCTCGGTTAGTGAAATAGGACGGATGTATGGATAAGTGTTGGCGTCTGCGGCTTAGGCGTTGCGAAAGCTCTTTGTACTGCTGGGTTGACGGTTCGATCCCAGCTAAGGTCCATTTCGCAGCAGAATGTCTTTCGTTGCTTTCGACAGTAGTATCTAGAGCTGACCGTTTAGAAAGCAGTGGCGAACTCCTGAACGTACAATTTGCCTAGAAAAACTACAACAGCCAACAAATGCTGGGGTTGGTTCTGAAACGTCCTGTAAATGATATACAGCTCACTGGTATGGACGTGTGGTGTTACAGCAAAGTGTTTTATTCTGTTGGAGCGCACGGATTGTCCAATCGAATTTGATTTCTCAGAAGCTGGAATTCTGAATGCTGTAAGTGCAGATATGGAGAATTGACGGTGTAATTGCTGACCCATGTGTTGTGGACTGAATAGTATGTGCAGCTGTGTGACACGCTGGTTGACGGAGACAAGTGTGTTCATGTCTACAGATATTGCCATTGGGGACTGCGGGCTAACCAGTGGGAGGTCCGAATCTTTTTGGAGTCGGGTGTAATCAGGGATCAATCAATCATTTGCCGTCTCCACAAAAAATGTTGGCTTGGTTGGATTTTCAGCATACACAGCCTCTTGTATTGGCAGTACACTCTCCCTAACTGCTGGTCGTTCATCTCTTGATATTGTTCTCCTCCTATTTTTCATGCTGTCTAAACATTATTGATGCTTATTGTTTCGCAGGCATATATTACACTGTCAGGCCTTTTGGAAAACACTACTTATGGAATCAAGGTAATATTCATTTGACAAATTGTACTTTATTGTCTTACTATTTCTTCTTCTATGCTGCCTTTAAAAAAAAAAATAGTTTGTCCCCCTGTGTTGTCACCAAACTGTAGTGGACACAAAGTTCTTGTGGTTTCTGTTTAACATATTATATATTAACATAAAGCTGTGGTGGCAGAGTGGTCCGAGCGTTTGTTGACATGGGCAGTGATTCAGACCTAATCGCTGGCTGTGGCAACAGCAGATGGTCAGACCGGTACAGCAATGTAGGAGAACCCGCCTGGACAAATGGCTGCTGGATAACCTGGAGAATGTTCAGTGGGGGATCAGTGACGAGGAAGACAGGCGGTCACCCCATTTGGATATATGGATCATATTGTGCGTTCTAGGGTATAATTTTGTGGTTTGGGGAAGGGGAGGGGATGAAAGGAGGGGTGGGGGGAAGGTGTTATAGGCCCAATGACACCTACCTGGCGTAGAGAAGACAACGACTAAATAGTTTTCTTTCAGCGTCAAAAACATCCGCTTATGATGCGAGCAATCAACTGTCTGTATACAAATAACCCATACCTGCAAAGCGAATGAGTGAGCAATCAACTGTCTGTATACAAATAACTCATACCTGTAAAGCGAATGTGCAAGCAATCAACTGTCTGTATACAAATAACCCATACCTGTAAAGCGAATGTGCAAGCAATCAACTGTCTGTATACAAATAACCCATACCTGTAAAGCGAATGTGCGAGCAATCAACTGTCTGTATACAAATAAGCCATACCTGTAAAGCGAATGTGCAAGCAATCAACTGTCTGTATACAAATAAGCCATACCTGTAAAGCGAATGTGCAAGCAATCAACTGTCTGTATAAAAATAAGCCATACCTGTAAAGCGAATGTGCAAGCAATCAACTGTCTGTATACAAATAAGCCATACCTGTAAAGCGAATGTGCAAGCAATCAACTGTCTGTATACAAATAAGCCATACCTGTAAAGCGAATGTGCAAGCAATCAACTGTCTGTATACAAATAACCCATACCTGTAAAGCGAATGTGCAAGCAAAACTCACGTTCTGGAACAAGACCACTGGTAAGAAATGGGGGAGCAATAGGAGCTTTCCGCCCTTTACTGCCGGTGAATTCAAGTAGAAAAGGAAGTAGATAATTCTGATAATTAAAAGAAAAAAGAAGAAGAGGACGCGGAGGAGGAGAAAGAAGAAGAAGAAGAAGAAGAAGAAGAAGAAGAAGAAGAAGAAATAGAAGAACAATCCTCTTAGAAGAAAAACAAAAACAAAAAACATTATCTCACATTCGACTACTTTTTGTTTTTTATTTAGCATGAAGATAGAAAAGTTGATAGAGCACATCTTTACTGGTTGTGAGCTCAGATCCGAGCTATTTCATTAATCCTATCGTATGGGGTTCGACCCAGCTTTGCTATACTGGTATGCTTGAGTATATGTTTCAGGCATGTTCCTCGTTTCTCTTATTCTGGTCGTTCACTCATTTTCATATTGTGGTAAATTTCCGAACACCTCATATTTCAGTGTCTCTGAATATTATTTGTATCTCAGAATTCCAGGTTTATGGATAATTATTTTCATCTTCTTTTGCAATCTTGTGGAAGATTTTCTTAATGTTATATGATGAAGCGCCATCAACCACAGATATAAAGCTGCAAGTCCGCACAAGATTGTTTCCCCTTTCCTGGGATCCATTAGAGTACAAGGACTTGCATGTTCTGATGCCTTTAGAGTCAAGGTTAACGTTAGCGTCGCTGAGGTCGACAGGTCAGTTACACAGACTCAAATAAATGAGATAAAGACCGATGTTTACCTAAGCTATGGATTGTGGACGGTCAAATGACAGAACAGGGGACACAAAAACACCCTAGAACGACTATGCGAAGGCTTGGACGAAACAGTCTGCAGGCAGACAGATGTCGTGCTTGTTTGTTTGTTTGTTTTAGTATCCAGAAGCCATGAGTTGTTAACCCTTAGGCTCGGTATTATGGATATCGCAACTTTTCGGCCTTGATTCCAATGTAAATACCGTAAATCTGGGAGAAATGTGGTTTTTCTGCCTACCCCGGGAGTGAATCCGGACCACAATGAGTTCTTCACCCCGTCACCGCGCAATCCGGTTTAGCCAACTACGCTAGAGAGCCGGGCGCAGATATGTGTTGAAATGTGTTTTGTTGTTGTCTTACAATATTTTATTGCAAATTCTGGGACTCTGCTGTCACTTGGTCAGATCGTACCTGTCTTCAACTTGAGCAACGTTGTCGAAGACCAGCAGGATCCAGTCTGGAACCAACCTGAGCTTCATACCTTCACAATGTCAGCAAGGCATGGTGGGTCATCAGCACCATCATCGTCAGTATCATTGCCATCGTCATTGCCATCGCTGTCATATATCATCATCATCAACATCAATATCTTCAACAATACCGTCGTCATTTTCACTATTGTCATCATCGTTTTCATCATCGTCCGAGTGTGTCTTCGGAAAATGCTGATGTATTGTTACCACCATGAGGCGGTGTTGCAGAGCTCTCTCCGCACCCCTCCCCCTTTTTTAAGTGGAGTCGACAAATTGATACTGGAACTTCACATTTGAAGAAGAAGAACCTGGGGTTGAATCCGGTTGGATCCAACATAGCCTATCCGACTGGCTGACATTCGGTCTGTGCGGTTCATGTATGCTCCTCAGGTGTGGGGTATTTCCTTGTCACAGACTTCAGCCCAGTAATCAGATAATCACCAACCTCATAGCACAAGCGTCACCCCATAGATGCTCAGTTCCCGTGCCACAGATAACCATACAGAATGTTCACCTCTATCTCTTGTAAAACAAATCGAGACCGACTAGTCTTAGGAAATCCAACACTAGGATTAAATGCATAATGCAACAGTAAGATGTGCCAGTTCAAACAGCCCGACACTAGAAATGCATATTTCATCGTGGATTCAGCGGCAGGTTCAACAGGTCAGCTGTGTTTACACGCTGTTTATTAATCGGGCGCCACAAGTTCTCTGACAAGAGGCCACTAGCCATTTACAACCCACAACAAAAGCCTCGATGAGCACAGTCGAGAAGCATTGCAAATAATATCGGCAGCTGACTATAGCTAGGCGCTGGAACTATTTCCTTTCAGTCTACCTATGGGTTAAAATACTAAAGCTAGCTACTGTCAGAAGTACTGACGTACACATACTGTCCGACTCATTAGCCGCCATCCAATCCTAGAACGGCCTCTCCCTCCTTAGACACTTAGTGTACGCTGTTGGCGTCCAGCCCGTCCCTTTTTTTTTTTTTTTGCCCCTACCTGCGCGTTGGAGGTATATAGGCTGACCGTCGTTTCATTTGAACGAAGTTTTTTCGCCAAGGACACTAGATGAGTATCGTTAATTTTATACATTAGAGTCCTATGTAGTCACTTCATAGTTAGAGCCTATTTGTGTATGTGTACTGTGTTGTCCTTTATGTGCAGATGAAGGCTAATCGCCGCAACGTCCTTTGTTTGTTTATTGTGATCGATTTTGTAAAGCTAACATAAACTAATTGTTGTTTCTTACCAACTTTTTCTCTTCCCTATAATTTTCTACTCCTTATAAAAACTTAATAAAAAGTAGCAGACCTGACATCAAAGAAAAGATCCTGATCTCGGCGACTGAACTGCGAAGAAAGGGGAGCCAACTCACCATAGGATGGGTACCGGCCCACAAAGGCGTGGTCGGCAATGAGTCGGCAGACATGGCCGCCAAGAACGGAGCCCTAGTCGATAACAAAACCGAAATAGGCCTAGGTAAGCTGGAGGGAAAAGCTGCGACCAAAAAACTGCTTCTTGAGGCATGGGCAACCCAATGGAACGAAAACCCCAAAGGGAGATACGCCCACAGAATGCTGCGGAAACCGAGAGCCCAATCGCAAGTCAAAGAGCAAACAAAGATCCCAGCGATCAACAAACTCTGGAAGATGCGATTGGGCTACTGGCCCGAAAAATACAAAAACCCGAGTTGCGACCAGTGTAGGAAACCTAATACGATGGCCAGCTACATACTAGAATGCTCAAAGTTTAGGATACAGAGGAGACAATTACAGGAGTAACCAGCGACATAGATCTGCAGAAATTGGTTAAACAGTTTATTAGCCGAACGGCTATACCTAAACACAAACCAATGAACACAGAACCGGACACAGAACCGGAAGTGACCGAACCAACATGACCCCGCGACAAACGCCGCGACCGACCACCTGCGGAAGGACGAGGACAAGCACAGCGGTTACAAGCCAGCAGCACAGAATCTAATTTCTACCCTCATCTTCCGATCTTACTGTAAGTCCTAACCAAACAGCATTTCAGATATGCATTCCGATCTTGCCTTTACTGGTGTCCTCTACTTCTTTAACCATGTTTGGCAGGAAGAAAACCTGTCTCTAAAAAAAAAAAAAGAAAAAAAAAAAGAAAAAGAAAAAAACCGCTCTCTCAGCTCACGCACATACACCTGTATGGTGCGAAAAAAGAAAAGCCCAAAAAGATGTTGTGTGGGGACCCTGAAAAGTGCCTTGTCTTTGGTAGCTCAATGACGGCTACAATTTGTTTCGAGACGGTGAGCCTGGTGGATGCCCTGATACCGATAACTGCAGCGTGCCGACTAGATGGTGACCAAACTAAGCGTTACAACACGCAGCACATAAACGTTGCCAAGAAAGAGTCATTGCTCATTTTAGGAGCTGACTGAAATTGGCAGGAATTTTTTTTTTTTTTTTTTACGACTACCATGACCACCATCACTGTCAGAAGTACAAACTTCCCACAATGATATTGCCTGGAAGTGTTTCAATGTAACTTATCCAGAAAATAATGGAATAAGCGGAACGACAACCATCACAGGTCATCAAATCAAAGAGCTGTTCTGTTCCTAGATCAATGCAAACATCTATAACTTTTTATACCTACAGCTGTTCTGTTCCTAGATCAATGCAAACATCTATCAGATTTCATACCTACAGCTGTTCTGTTCCTAGATCAGTGCAAACATCTATCAGATTTCATACCTACAGCTGTTCTGTTCCTAGATCAGTGCAAACATCTATCAGATTTCATACCTACAGCTGTTCTGTTCCTAGATCAATGCAAACATCTATCAGATTTCATACCTACAGCTGTTCTGTTCCTAGATCAGTGCAAACATCTATTTCATACCTACAGCTGTTCTGTTCCTAGATCAATGCAAACATCTATCATATTTCATACCTACAGCTGTTCTGTTCATAGATCAATGCAAACATCTATCATATTTCATACCTACAGCTGTTCTGCTCCTAGATCAATGCAAACATCTATCATATTTCATACCTACAGCTGTTCTGTTCATAGATCAATGCAAACATCTATCATATTTCATACCTACAGCTGTTCTGTTCATAGATCAATGCAAACATCTATCATATTTCATACCTACAGCTGTTCTGTTCCTAGATCAATGCCAACAAAGATCGTATTTCATACCTACAGCTATTCTGTTCCTAAATCAATGCCAGAAAAGATCGTATTTCATACCTACAGCTGTTCTGTTCATAGATCAATGCAAACATCTATCATATTTCATACCTACAGCTGTTCTGTTCATAGATCAATGCAAACATCTATCATATTTCATACCTACAGCTGTTCTGTTCCTAGATCAATGCCAAAAAAGATCGTATTTCATACCTACAGCTGTTCTGTTCCTAGATCAATGCCAAAAAGACCGTATTTTATACCTACAGCTGTTCTATTTCTAGATCAATGCAGACGTCTATCGTATTTCCTACCTACAGCTGTTCTGTTCCCAGATCAATGCAGACATCTATCGTATTTCATACCTACAGCTGTTCTGTTCCTAGATAATTGCCAGAAAAGATCCTATTTCATACCTACAGCTGTTCTGTTCCTAGATCAATACCAGAAAAGATCGTATTTCATACCTACAGCTGTTCTGTTCCTAGATCAATACCAGAAAAGATCGTATTTCATACCTACAGCTGTTCTGTTCCTAGATCAATGCCAGAAAAGATCGTATTTCATACCTATAGCTTTTCTGTTCCTAGATCAATGCCAGAAAAGATCGTATTTCATACCTACAGCTGTTCTGTTCCTAGATCAATGCCAGAAAAGATCGTATTTCATACCTACAGCTGTTCTGTTCCTAGATCAATGCCAAAAAAGTTCGTATTTCATACCTACAGCTGTTCTGTTCCTAGATCAATGCCAGAAAAGATCGTATTTCATACCTACAGCTGTTCTGTTCCTAGATCAATGCCAGAAAAGATCGTATTTCTTACCTACAGCTGTTCTGTTCCTAGATCAATGCCAGAAAAGATCGTATTTCATACCTACAGCTGTTCTGTTCCTAGATCAATGCCAGAAAAGTTCGTATTTCATACCTACAGCTGTTCTGTTTCTAGATCAATGCCAGAAAAGATCGTATTTCATACCTACAGCTGTTCTGTTCCTAGATCAATGCCAGAAAAGATCGTATTTCATACCTACAGCTGTTCTGTTCCTAGATCAATGCCAGAAAAGATCGTATTTCATACCTACAGCTGTTTTGTTCCTAGATCAATGCCAGAAAAGATCGTATTTCATACCTACAGCTGTTCTGTTTCTAGAATAATGCCAGAAAAGATCGTATTTCATACCTACAGCTGTTTTGTTCCTAGATCAATGCCAGAAAAGATCGTATTTCATACCTACAGCTGTTCTGTTTCTAGATTAATGCCAGAAAAGATCGTATTTCATACCTACAGCTGTTCTGTTCCTAGATAAATGCCAGAAAGGGTCGTATTTCATACCTACAGCTATTCTGTTCCTAAATCAATGCCAGAAAAGATCGTATTTCATACCTACAGCTGTTCTGTTCCTAGATCAATGCCAGAAAAGATCGTATTTCATACCTACAGCTGTTCTGTTCCTAGATCAATGCCAGAAAAGATCGTCTTTCATACCTACAGCTGTTCTGTTCCTAGATCAATGCCAAACAGCTGTTCTACCTACAGCTGTCCTAGATCAATGCAGAAAAGATCGTATTTCATACCTACAGGTGTTCTGTTCCTAGATCAATGCAGAAAAGATCGTATTTCATACCTACAGCTGTTCTGTTCCTAGATCAATGCCAGAAAATATCGTATTTCATACCTACAGCTGTTCTGTTTCTAGATTAATGCCAGAAAAGATCGTATTTCATACCTACAGCTGTTCTGTTCCTAGATCAATGCCAGAAAAGATCGTATTTCATACCTACAGCTGTTCTGTTCCTAGATCAATGCAAACATCTATTATATTTCATACCTACAGCTGTTCTGTTCCTAGATCAATGCCAGAAAAGTTTGTATTTCATACCTACAGCTGTTCTGTTCCTAGATCAATGCCAGAAAAGATCGTATTTCATACCTACAGCTGTTCTGTTTCTAGATTAATGCCAGAAAAGATCGTATTTCATACCTACAGCTGTTCTGTTCCTAGATCAATGCCAGAAAAGTTTGTATTTCATACCTACAGCTGTTCTGTTCCTAGATCAATGCCAGAAAAGATCGTATTTCTTACCTACAGCTGTTCTGTTCCTAGATCAATGCCAGAAAAGATCGTATTTCTTACCTACAGCTGTTCTGTTCCTAGATCAATGCCAGAAAAGATCGTATTTCATACCTACAGCTGTTCTGTTCCTAGATCAATGCCAGAAAAGATCGTATTTCATACCTACAGCTGTTCTGTTCCTAGATCAATGCCAGAAAGGATCGTATTTCATACCTACAGCTGTTCTGTTCCTAGATCAATGCCAGAAAAGATCGTATTTCATACCTACAGCTGTTCTGTTCCTAGATCAATGCCAGAAAAGATCGTATTTCATACCTACAGCTGTTCTGTTCCTAGATCAATGCCTAGATCAGCTGTTCTGATCAAAAACATCAGAGCTGATCAAAAACATCAGAGCTGATCAAATACGTCAGAGCTGATCAAAAATATTACGGCTGATCAAAAACACCACCGCTGATCAAAAACCCCGCATTGCCTACACTCTTTACTAAAAATAATGCAAGGCACCATTTTCCACACCTTCAGGTGTATAGGCATATAGGGCTAGACCTATTTTTTACCGAATAAATGAGACCCTTGGTGGGTGATATGATCAGCATCATGCCGTGCATCTTTACCTTCCAAGACTTCACCTGGTACCCAAGTAAGGCTTGGTTGCCCTGGCAGCAAGGTCATTTTTGAAGAAAAAAAAGTACGGCTCAGATCAGATATGAACCCAGGATCTTCGGATCCGCAGGTTAGCATCTAGCCGCTACACATCTGCGGCTCTGACACTCTTTAGTAGCCGCTACACATCTGCGGCTCTGACACTCTTTAGTAGCCGCTACACATCTGCGGCTCTGACACTCGTTAGTAGCCGCTACACATCTGCGGCTCTGACACTCTTTAGTAGCCGCTACACATCTGCGGCTCTGACACTCTTTAGTAGCCGCTACACATCTGCGGCTCTGACACTCTTTAGTAGCCGCTACACATCTGCGGCTCTGACACTCTTTAGTGGCCGCTACACATCTGCGGCTCTGACACTCTTTAGTGGCCGCTACACATCTGCGGCTCTGACACTCTTTAGTAGCCGCTACACATCTGCGGCTCTGACACTCTTTAGTAGCCGCTACACATCTGCGGCTCTGACACTCTTTAGTAGCCGCTACACATCTGCGGCTCTGACACTCTTTAGTAGCGACTGAGAAATCACTTGTGAATGTTATCCATACCATAAATTATATTTGAATGTTTCAGCAACAAAACAGTTGACATCCACTCCAGCCATGCCCTACACTCAGCAGACCAAGCCTGGGCCCCAAGGTAACAGTTGTTGACATCCCCGCCGCAGTTGCCTGCCATTCTTTCATTGTTCTGACGTGCCATTACATGTCACATAGGGCTAGCAGCCTGTTCTTCCATTTTGTTCCACCCTGTACAACATCATGGATGGAATCCATTCTAGCAGCTCTGGGCTCCCTCATCAGCTATGAAAACAATAGCCCATTTTATGTTGCTCTAGTCCTTAGGGTCTGGGGAGTACGGAATGGCGCTGCGAGGAGTTAACAGGGGATGTGGCCGACACAGGGAAAGAACGATACGCATATACATTCAAAGGGCTACTGGTGCCATTGAATTGAAACTCTTCTCTCGCTGCTAAAGATGGGAACAGAGCATTTATGGGAGTGTCCTGGGTGCTGTGATGTCGATTCTTAATACAACATTCAATACATTTATCTAGTCGACACTGTTAATATATTATTCTTACTTTGAACTAGACTTTAGGGGAAAAAAAGACAACACTGTTTGTCCAACAATAATCAACACTTTTGGAGCCAGGCAGCTATCACTGGCAACATTCCCGAAAGGGGGAGCTTTAGGTCATAATTGTAACTATGTTGTGTGCGCCACATAACATGGCTTGGCATTGCACGTCACCAAGGGCCATGACAAGGAGTCCTGCAGTGTTGACGTGATCAGAGAAGACAGACCTAAATACTGTCCAGACAAGCGAAGAAGTTGTCTACCGGCGAGCCAATAGGCGACCCAGTGGCCGATGTGTTAGCTAGCACTGAGAATCGCACGGAACGACTAGCCACAAAACAACCGTGAATGAACTACCACGTAAACGGAACAGGCAGCCACAAAACAACCGTGAATGAACTACCACGTAAACGGAACAGGCAGCCACAATACAACCGTGAATGAACTACCACGTAAACGGAACAGGCAGCCACAAAACAGCCGTGAGTGAACTACCACGTAAACGGAACGGCCAGTCACAAAACAGCCGTGAGTGAACTACCACGTAAACGAACATGAATGCTTTCTCTCGAGACGCTCCTGGAGTGCTAGTTTACTGTTCAATATGTTGGTAAGGCGTTATTTGCCGTCATGTCACTGACAGCTGGTAATTATTGCAGTTCCGATTTCTGCACCAGTAAAGACTGTCTGGTGATAAATTACCCAGAAACTTTTTGGTTGTGCCAGTAGGTAACCATCGGTTGTGGCCATACCAGGAATTTTTACAATTTTGAGCAAACAAAAGAAAGATAAACAAGATATAAACTGAAATCATAAGTATATTACTTGAAAGAGCAAATGAATGAATGCATGAATGAATTAATGCATCAATGAATGAATGAATGAATGAATTGGTTTCACTGTATTCGGGGCATTTCCACACGAGCTTTGTCTACCTCCTCAGTAAACAACGGTGACCTCCAAACTGAAGTCGCCAGTTACAATGTGATAAAAGTCTGTTCGTACTTATTCATGATCACTGGAGTGGGGCGGTTATGCATTCAGTCGGTGTTTTTCAAGGGTAATGAGCAGTTCATACACTCTGATATCAGCCGAGGCAGACGATCGGCTAAAGGCGTGTCCCATGTGCAGTGACGTCAGTTCCGGCAAGAGTTAACCCAAATATGTATTAATCTGTGTCCAAACCTCCAGGCTTGAATACATTACACGTGATCGCTGTAGCGATGTCTGGGCTACTGGCGTCCGTCGTTGCTCTTCTCATCTTTGTTCGATTGAGGCGCCGTCATCATCGTCTAGGCATGGCTGGGGTTGTCAGTGTCACTGATACTGAGTACAGAGATTATGCGGTCTTCTCACCTGGCACAAGGTCAGTTAATTTCGTGTTACTTTATCATCATTGTCATTATCTCTATCATTTTCTTCTTTTTCTTCATCTTCTTCTTCTTCTTCTTCTTCTTCTTCTTCTTCTTCTTCTTCTTCTTCTTCTTCTTCTTCTTCTTCTTCTTCTTCTTCTTCTTCTTCTTTTTCTTCTTCTTCTTCTTCTTCTTCTTCTTCTTCTTCTTCTTCTTCTTCTTCTTCTTCTTCTTCTTCTTCTTCTTCTTCTTCTTCTTCTTCTTCTTCTTCTTCTTCTTCTTCTTCTTCTTCTTCTTCTTCTTCTTCTTCTTCTTCTTCTTCTTCTTCTTCTTCTTCTTCTTCAAATTCTTCTTCTTCAAATTCTTCTTCTTCTTCTTCAAATTCTTCTTCAAATTCTTCTTCTTTTTCAAATTCTTCTTCTTCTTCTCCTCCTCCTCCCAGACCTATTCTCCTCCAGCTTCTATTAACCACCTGTAATCCCATCGCCTCCTCATCCAACTACTACTACTACTACTACTACTACTACTACTACTACTACTACTACTACTACTACTACTACTACTACTACTACTACTACTACTACTACTACTACTACTACTACTACTACTACTACTACTACTACTACTACTACTGTTGCTGCTGCTGCTACTACTACTACTACTACTACTACTACTACTACTACTACTACTACTACTACTACTACTACTACTACTACTACTACTACTACTACTACTACTACTGCTGCTGCTGCTACTACTACTACTACTTCTACCACCACCACCACAAGCACTACAACACAGCTGTCGCTATTTCAAATGTTAAAACTCTATAGCTTCTACTAGTGCTACTACTACTTTTTATACTAGTTTAGTTGCGTATCCTTTTCAGGACGTTGCAGAACCAACCCCAACAGCCCCTGGCTGTTGTGTGGTTTTTTTTGGCAACTTTACGTCCAGTAGTTTGCCATTGCCTCCTGGACGGTCGGCTTTCTTGATACCGCTGTCAAAACCAACGCGGCACATGGCCCCCAGCTGGGATCGAACCCGGCATTCCGGCATTACGAAGCGTTGGCATCAACTTAGCTACAAAGCCGACACTTCTTATACTACAACTACTATTAATACTATTGATATGTAATGTCCTAATTGTTTGTAGCTTGAATGGAGGTGCTGCCCACTGTCCAGTAGTGTCAGACCAGTGGGAACTGCCTCTGAGCTGTATTAAGTTCGGTTGCGTGTTGGGCTCTGGAGCTTTCGGTAAGGTTGTCAAGGGCCAAGTCACCAGAGCCATCTTAACTCACAGGGGCGTGTCTCCGCTGATTGTTGAAGGTGGGAAGTATTTCGATGACGTCAGTACACTTCATGTCACAGTGGCCATCAAGATGTTGCAAGGTTTGTTATAAAACACATTCTTTATTATTTCTTTTTGGTATGGGACGTCGCAGGTCGACCCAGCCTAAAATGGGTACCAGGATGTGCTGTCCTGGGAAAGTAAAGACTGCCGGCGTAATGCTGACCACATTACTCACAGAGTGCTGATGGTCTGTAAAAATATGGGACGCTCTGCCCATATGCCCGATGCGCCGAAAGGCGTGAAAAGGGATCTTTACTTTTTTTTTTAAACTTATATTTCACCATATTTACCCATACATTTATCAGGCGTATACAATGCAGCTTTTAAAAAAAAATATAAGCTGCTGCAATTTAAAACGGTATTGACCTAGCAGCTTTATATTGCTCGGGCCGAGTATATATGTTTGTTCACAATGTGTTTGCTATGTCCTTGTATTTCCTGATGAATTCCTCTGCCTTCTATTTAGCAAATCACACAGACACACTTATCCGAACACAGTGCTGATGAAGCCTAATTACCGCAACGTTCTTTGTTTGTGTGTTGTAATTAGACCTGAAAGCTGACACATGCATTATGGTTTTCCATTCTTTTCTAGACTTTCATAGATTTACTGCACTCACCTCATAGCAACGTAGTTGCCTGGCTAACAGTCACCGAGTCACACGAACTCTGGCCTATACTCCTTACCTAATGTCGCAACCAATTTTAAAATTTGTAACTATAGCTTTAATTTTGCTTTCTGTTTTTAATTGCTTATGTTTTGGAGGTATTTCGTGCGAAAAAAATAAGGGAAGCTCATATTTTGAATAGTAAGTGGTAACGTCCTGTACTGTAATAATGCTTGTTGACTGGTTTATAAAATGTAAACGTTTTATGTCAATTACTATAATTGGTAAAAGGCGTTTACAAATTAGTAGTCAATCAAAGATCAAAGAAATTCGCCACTGTAAATAAAAATATATTTAAAAAAAAACAGTGCAGTTGTAGAATACGAAATTATAAAGACCATGTGCACACATTCGTGTTGATGCATACAGAAGTAATCAGTTTTTTTTTTTCAAGTTTGAGGTCTCTACTTTTGGTACGAACTATAGCCCTGTATTCCTCAGAAGATTGTGACAGTATGTACAAGCAGGACTTTCTGAAGGAGATCCAGCTGATGAAGACACTTGGCCACCACCAGAACGTCGTCAGCATGCTGGGATGTTGCACTCTCCGTGACCCCATTTGTTTGCTTGTAGAGCATGCAGAATTTGGTGACCTTCTGAACTTCCTCAAAGATGTCCGCCAGAGACTCGTGAAAGTAAGACATTGTGCTTTAATGTTTGTCTTCATCCTCTGTTCATCTACCGGCAACTACCCTTCACTTGCTTCTGATCTGACACTTCGTGCACGACATACTTTAGAATGCACTTCCAGGCATCAGCCAAGTGTCATCAGCCAAGTGTCATCAACCAAGTGTCATCAGCCAAGTGTCATCAGCCAAGTGTCATCAACAAAGTGTCATCAGCCAAGTGTCACCTGCCAATCGTCATCAGCCAAGTGTCATCGCCCCTTTACAAGCTTTTTGTACTTTGCCTGTATAGTAGTCAAATACTTCCTTCTATTTGCTCTGAGCGTTGTCCACGTAACTGTAATGTTGTTCTGTGGTTGCCCACGTGACTGTAATGTTGCTCTGTGTGTTGTCCACGTGACTGTAATGTTGCTCTGGATGTTGTCCACGTGACTGTAATGTTGCTCTGGGTGTTGTCCACGTGACTGTAATGTTGTTCTGGGGGTTGTCCACGTGACTGTAATGTTGCTCTGGGTGTTGTCCACGTGATTGTAAAGTTGCTCTGTGTGTTGTCCCGTGACTGTAATGTTGCTCTGATCGTTGTCCACGTGACTGTAAAGTTGCTCTGTGTGTTGTCCCGTGACTGTAATGTTGCTCTGAGCGTTGTCCACGTGACTGTAATGTTGCTCTGGATGTTGTCCACGTGTCTGTAATGTTGCTCTGGGTGTTGTCCACGTGACTGTAATGTTGTTCTGGGGGTTGTCCACGTGACTGTAATGTTGCTCTGGGTGTTGTCCACGTGATTGTAAAGTTGCTCTGTGTGTTGTCCCGTGACTGTAATGTTGCTCTGTGTGTTGTCCACGTGACTGTAATGTTGCTCTGTGTGTTGTCCACGTGACTGTAATGTTGCTCTGTGTGTTGTCCACGTGACTGTAATGTTGCTCTGGATGGTGTCCACGTGACTGTAATGTTGCCTTTCATGTCAGTCTAGGTCTGCCTGTCAACCCTTTAGGGCGTACTTTAATTCTGTCAATGTCCGGAAATCATTTCTTCGTTTCTTCGCTCATGTGTCGACCTGGTATCCCAGACCATTTATTTCACAAACAAACAATCCTCTTCGATGAGGATTACAATCCCTAACCTTCTAGCCGGCTAGTAAACGACTCCTACAATTCTAAGACAGTGTAATATTTTATCTGTCTGACCGACTGGTTCGCTAGCGCATTTGGTTTAAACTCTCTGCGCGGCGACCACGTGACGGAACTCCTTGTGGTCCCGAAAAGCGACATTTCTCCCAGATTTACGGTAGCTATCATGGAATCAGAGACGAAGGGTTGTGATATCCATAGTATTGAGCCAAAGAGTTAACAACTCATGGATGCACTAAAAAAATATGTCCGACCAGGTCCCCTGCTCTCCCCAATAATGACACAGTTCTAACATTCTACGAGAAAAAAACTAGGTCAGTGATGCATACTTCTTTCAGCTCCTCTGGTTTTCCTCTGTATTATCTGCACATTGTATGTTGTTGATGTCATTTCTTCCAGCTACGATTCCAGTTGTGTCCTGAAATAACCAATATGTTGCCTAAATAAAGAAAAAACTCCAGAGACATTAAATATCCCTCTTCAGGGGATAAGTTTATTTTTAACCTTCATCAGTATCAGTTGTATGGTTGCAGAAAGTCAATGACCCTTGTCCACGCTTCCAGTCGTATTGGGTAAATAGGGCAGGAACTATTTGTTATAGACCAATTGGCACTCGGTGAGTGATGCGGCCAACATCACGTGAAATCTCGTGGTTTCCAATAACGTTCTTCAGAGTTACAGCTTTTTGCATCACGGGGAGCATTTGATCATTTCGGGGTGTCTTGCTCTGTCCAAGTCCTGTCTGTAGTCAAACAAGTTGTCAGACAGTCTCTACTTGCTTCTGTCGAACGCCGCATCAATGCTCTCAGATTTAACCCACCCCCCTCCAGTTTCATTTACATCATTATCATCATCATCAGGTGCCTTGCCGACTGGCGTGGGCGATCATGCCTCTCCATAATCCACGATCTCCTGCAGCATGTATTAGTTCGTGTGCCGACACACCTCCATGCCATGCAACAAGACTGTCAAGAATCTTCTCTTGTTGTCTTCCTCTATCCTTCCTTCCACAGATCTTTCCAGTGGTCACAACGTGTTCTATTTTCCCTCTTCTCATAACATGGCCGAAAAATGATGACTGTCTCGTTCTGATGTCTGTGATAAGTTGTCTTCGGGCTCCCGCCTCTTTCAAAACTTCTTGGTTGCTCTTTTTGGCTGTCCAAGGTATTCTAAGAATTCTTCTGTAAAACCACATCTCTGAGGCCTCCAGAAATTGTTTGGCCTGCCTACCGATTGTCCAGGATTCACAGCATATGTTAAAACTGGATGTATGTAGCAAGCAAGAATTCGTTTTCTAACTCTCAATGACAAGGATATATTGCACAAGATATTCTTCATTTTATAAAATGCAGTTTTTGCCTGTCCTATTCTATTTCTTATCTCAGTTATGCATTTTCCATCTGATGTTATCCATGTGCCCAGATACTTAAATTTCTGTACTTGTCCTAAAATAACACCATCGAATTTTATTACACATTTAGGAATGATTCGTTTCTTTGATACCACCATTACTTCTGTCTTCCCATTATTCAAACTGGATGTATGTAGCAAGCTATAATTTTTTTTTCTAACTTTCGATGACAAGGATATATTGCACAAGATATTCTTGATTTTATACAATGCAGTTTTTACCTATCCTATTCTGTTTCTTTTTTCAGTTATGCAGCTTCCATCTGATGTTATCCATGTGCCCAGATACTTAAATTTCTGTACTTGTCCTAAAATAACACCATCCAACTGAGGCCCATTCTTCCACTTTCTAACACCACAATGTCTATCATTTCCTGTAGTTATTTCTAACCTGTTGCTATCAAGCCGACCGACACGAACATGGGCACAGGATATAAGTGACTCCTTGAGTGTGAAAGAACACGAGGCGGGAGAACTGGCAAGAGATCGAGTTTCTTACAGACAGACTGTGATGAGAGCGACGTTCTGCAAAGGACCTGCTACATGATGATGATGATGATGCTATCAAGACTGTGTCATCAGCATAACGTAAACTGTTTATATTGTGCCCACCAACCACAATTCCGGGCATTCCAATTAAAGATCTCATTATATATTCACTGTATATTGAAAACAAATCAGGTGATAGTACACATCCTTGTCGTACGCCCCTCTTTATGTTTTGAAATATACCTAAACAGTTGTGTATTTTATTAGCACAATTAGCATTTACATACACACATTATTTCCCTAACAAAAAAAAAACATGTCTTTGATGCTTGTATTAAAAAGGGGTGGGGTGGGGGGGGGGGGCGATAGTGGGGGTAGGACAAGGAGGTATCACCCTGAGGGTTTAAGGCCGCACAGTTAGTACCATCGCTAAGAACTGTTCCGATTGGGAATGTAATTTTGCCACCTACATAAAATTCGCATTTTAGCTAGTATTCTAACTGGGTTCTGCCGAATGATAAGTCCAGCGCTCTTAACCGCTGGTCCAGCGCCTGCCCAGCTCGCCCCAGCTGGGGATTTTATTTGAAACAAACAAGACCATTTCTTTACTATCATCATCAGGTGTCATCACTCAACAGTCAGTATGTCAACGGAAACACCACCGTGCTGACGTCATCAGATCTGTTGAGATTCGCACACCAGGTGTCGCTGGGAATGGTCAGTTGCAGTGTTGTCCTCTACCTTGTTCTGTGACTGTCAATCAATACTGTTACTGTCATCGTTAGTTTGCTGAGACCCTGTCATCTTCTGAAACATCTTTGACTTCACCTATACATGCAGTGTTAGACTATCTAACAAGTGCCGGCTCAGTTTCATTTGCTCTCTGTTGTTGTTGTTTCTGTCGGGTACTCACAATATAGTGACCGATGAATTGTGGTGGAGGAAAAAACGTAAGCAAAGGACCTCTTTTTGAGCCTTTAGGCGTATTGGACATATAGGGCTAGATTTAGATTTCATAGACCGATGTGGGCAACATCGTGTTGGCCGCTTTTATTTCCCAGGACTTTACCTGGTACTCTCTCAAGGCTGGGTCTACCTGGGAGACATGGTAATCTAATATTTTTTTGTTTTGAAAAAGACAGGCTCAATAAGGACCCGAACACGAACATCTGAAAAAAAGAAGACTGAAAAGAGGAAGGTCTTGGGTGGCGCAAGCTGACGACACAATTAGACATGTACTAGGCTTGATTAATTTGGGCGAGATGAGGAGTGGCTCAAAGTGTTCGAGTAAGAATCGGACTGGTCTCTCACTTTAGGGACTTGCCCACTTCTGTCAGTCAGTCTGTCAGTCTGTCAGTCAGTCAGTCAGTCAGTCAGTCAGTCAGTCAGTTATACGTATTTATAGCCTTAATACTGTCAAAGGAGTAGAGGGTGCTGCGGAAAATTAACAGCGGGACTGGCCGACGATCAACACTCAAGGAAAAGGCGAGACGGATGTACAATAAGACAGTTACTGGAACCATAGGAACTGAACTTTTCGTTTGATTCCGAAGATGGGGGCGGGGCACATGTGTGAGTGTCCCGAGTGCTGTAATGTCGATTCTTTGTTCAACATTAAACAGTCATTCAAGGCCAGCGTCTAGCCGCTACTCTACGGCGGCCTCCAGTGGTGCCGGTACACACCACAAAAAGGTCTTCTACAGAAATGCTGAAAGATGCCTTTAAAAAGGTGTCGGTACTGCTAACTGCCAGCAAAATAGCACTGACTGTTGCTGGTGTTTGTTGCTATTGATGTTATTTATATTAATTATGTTTTGCGGAGGAAATTAAGCCCAATTGTAATGATACGTCTCTTAATGTTTTGTTGTTTAAATGTCTGCTGTGGTAGCAACATTATTATTATCAATATAATGGAGGTCGTTTCTGCTGCGGTTATTTCTGTTCCTGACGTTGTTGTGGCGCGACTGCTGTTACTGTTGTTGATCTTGTTTTCGTTTTTTATGTCAATATAATTGTTATTGTTGTTCTTCTTCTTCTTGGCATTTAGCGGCATTTAGTGGCATTTAGTGGCTGTAAACTCCCGCGGAAAGTTTTAGGTGTTTGTTCACTGTTGGACTTCATTTTTGGTCTTGATTCAGAACTCGAGTTTTCGTACACATCCACAGATCGTTGGCTTTTTGTTTTTTTATGACAACTGTTAATTGCTTGCCTCTCAGACAGATGCACTCTAACTTTGAAGGGAACGCCCCTAATTAGTCGACTACTACGACATGTATTGTTGTTGTTGTTGTTGGGGTGGGGGTGGGGGTCAGTAGTTTTATTGTTTGCTCTCCATAATGTAGCCCTGGAACCCACACGGGAGGGGGGGGGGCTGGATATTACAACTGACGTACCGCTAACAGCTACATTAGCCTGTTCAACCTACAGTCTATGCCGAGAAGGATAAAGAATATATTGCATGTTTAAATGTATCTCCTGTTGTCGCAACACACGTGCAGCAACTGACCTACAATGTCAGAAAGGACCGTGGAATTATACTTACCTGTTTATTGAAATGTCTGTTGTTTAGGATTTTCTAGCCTCTAAAGGTTTTGTGCACCGAGACCTGGCAGCGAGAAACGTACTGATGTGTGCCAACAGAACCTGCAAGATCGGCGATTTCGGTTTGGCCAGGTACATCTACGACAATGTGGTCTATGTGAACCGACGGGGTGGCCGACTTCCGGTCAAATGGATGTCAGTGGAAGCCATCTTTGATATGTCGTTCTCGACGGCCAGCGACGTGTAAGGTTTTTTTTTGTCTGTCTGTGTGTCTGTCTGTCTATCTGTCTGTCTATCTGTCTGTCTGTTTGTCTGTCTGTTCTCCTTCTCATGGCTGTCACCCCTGAAGGTCCAACCAACCTTTACTCGGACAATTATAAATGTGCGGTGCATGGGAGGGGAGGTAATAAACGCATGAAATTACGCTGAGGGATAAACACGATTACCTCCCATGACACAGTATCAACCAAAACCTTCCTGTGGCGTCTGATCGAGTAATTCTGAATATTAACTCCACCTTTATAGTTTTTCACTAACTGGTTCCATCATGATAGTTTTTCACCAGTTGGCTCCACCATGATAGTGTTCCACCTATTATCTCCACCATGATAGTTTTTCACCAGTTGGCTCCACCATGATAGTGTTCCACCTATTATCTCCACCATGATAGTTTTTCACCAGTTGGCTCCACCATGATAGTGTTCCACCTATTATCTCCACCATGATAGTTTTTTTCACCAGTTGGCTCCACCATGATAGTGTTCCACCTATTATCTCCACCATGATAGTTTTTCACCAGTTGGCTCCACCATGATAGTGTTCCACCTATTATCTCCACCATGATAGTTTTTCACCAGTTGGCTCCACCATGATAGTGTTCCACCTATTATCTCCACCATGATAGTTTTTCACCAGTTGGCTCCATCATGATAGCTTGGACTAATCAGCCAATCGGGGACACTGAAAACCTAGCAGATAAAAAGTCCAGCTTCCACTCCCACTAAATATTTGACGTAATCGTCAACAGGTCGGCGTCTGAGGCTTAGGCGTTGCGAACGCGCTTGGTAATGCTAGGGTGCCGGGTTCGATCCCAGCTGCGGGCCGTGCGCCTTGCGTTGGTTTCGACAGTGGTATCGAACACCGACCGTCCAGAGGGCAGTGCATACTACTGGACGTAAATTGCTGGGCAACTTCCTGTACAGGATACGTCACATAAAAATTCACGCCTATAGGCACACATGAACTAACACGTTGCTTTCAAATTACTACAAAGCCTGACTAAATGAAAGAGAACTTTATTATTAAATCATCGGAAGTAAAGAAGATCCATGAGTCCCCGGGAAAGTCCAATATTGCAGAGGTGTAATGGATTAGGTTTAGGGTCTTTGTCAGTAAAGAACTTACGCAGAGACACCGAACAACACTAACCCTAGAAAAAAGAATGTGCCAATTCACATGTGTTTACTTCACTCTGCAAGAGGGCAACGGACAGGTGTTCACACTCGCCATCGACCATGTGTGTGTCTTTCACTTCTCCCTACAAGATATAATGACACTAGCATCTGGACAGAGGGAAAGGTGCCAACCAACAGGCAGCCAGACACCTTTATGTTGAGCTATATCCTCACAATCGACGTCAGTGCACATCGGGCATTCCCATGCGTGCTCAGTCCTTCAGTGCAGCCGCCACTCCAAGGTACCTCCACAGACTGCCCCCACAAGGAGCTGGATACAGACCTCAGTCAGGAACGCGGCAAAGACATGCTCCGCCATGCTTGACTCCAGTGCCAAGCAATCGTGTTGGTGACAGAGATTCCTCACTATCCAGTTAACCTAGTCCATACAGCGTTGTTATCATCCACCCTACCCATGTTTCCTTCACCCATGCCTTGGTGCATTGCTTGACCGAGACAAATTTTCTCAGTTGTCAAACATATCGGAAAAGGGGGAGGGGGATGGGGGTAGTGTCTCCCTTCTATGTGTAGTCCATCATCTATACTTGTAATTTTCTTCCTCTTGTTCGAAGTTCAGCAGTTATATTTGCATCAGTTATGCTTGCATGTTTCCTCCTCCTGTGTGAAGTTCAGCAATTATACTTGCAGGTTTTCTCTCACATATATAGTTCATCAACTATTCTTATATGTTTCTACGTCGCATGTGTAGTTCATCAACTATCCTTGCATGTTTCTCCCGAGAATATGTAGTTCATCAACTATACTTCTTGGAGGTTTTCTCGCACATATATAGTTCATCAACTATTCTTGTATGTTTCTACCTCGCATGTGTAGTTCATCAACTATCCTTGCATGTTTCTCCCGAGAATATGTAGTTCATCAACTATACTTGTTTCTCCCCAGCATGTGTAGTTCATCAACTATCCTTGCGTGTTTCTCCATCCAATGCATTACTGATCACCTATACTTGTATGTTTATCCTAAAAATGTTTAGTTTGTGAAATTTTCTTTTCTTCCTTATTGTTTGTCTAGATGGTCATTTGGTATTTTGCTGTACGAAATCGTCACCTTGGGTGGGACGCCATATCCGACCATCCCCACACGAGAACTCCTTCGTGAATTGCAGGAAGGTTACAGAATGGAGAAGCCGGAAAACTGTTCTAACCAAATGTGAGTCTATCTATCTGTTTGTGCCTGTCCCACTCGTCCATATTGTCCATTGTATTTGTGTGGTATTGTTTAATATTTTATGGTATTGGGAGTCGCAGGTCAACCCAGCTTAAAATGGGTACCTGGGGAAGTAAAGACGGCGGCGTAATCATGACCACATTACCCATCCAGTGCCGATTGGTCTGTAAATATATAGGACTCTTTTCCACTATGCCCGATGCGCCTAAAGCGTGAAAGAGATCTTTATTTTAGACACTGTGTGGGCGATCCGTTCTTTTTATGAGTGACTTTCTTTCATGGCATATTTTTTACTTTTTCTATTTGTCCAGGATAGTAGTAGTAATAGTACATTTTATCCCACCAGGGCACTGCACAAGCGATTAACACCCGATGACACAAAGTGCCATCATATGGATGCGGATAACCGGTGGAGAGGTCACAGAAACCGCGTTCAGCCATTAAGCCAAATTTATGGTCTGGCTATATTACGGGCCCTGGCAAGAGCCAGGGTGGGGCTTCAAAATAACGAAAAACTGCATGCCACAAGGAGATGACTAGTAATTTTAAATATACATTGAGTAAAGTTTACTTTGATAACTTTTACCTTCTCTATCCTATGGGCTCTTTTGCCATCAAACATCAGCATTTTTATGACCTACCTCCTGAATTTTCTTTCTTATTGTAATTTCCCGCCATTAGGCTAACTTGTCAACAGTGTTCGCGCTACTTACACAAATACAGCGATAGCGCTGGCGTCCATAAAGAGGCCAAGAATCTACAGCCTAAGAAAGATCAGCAATAAAAGACGACTGTAGAGAAGCTTCCAGGGAAGCCAGGGGCGATAACCCGGTGATAATGTCCGCACGTCAGTCTATCAAGTTGGGAAGGCGAGTCCATAAATTTCAGTGGAATGGTGTCGATCTCGATTAACTTGTCTGGGGCCAGCTGAGGAGGAATGTCGGCAGATTCCTTTGCTGTTTCCTTTCTGACTCAGGTACATCCCCGTAAGGTTCCAAACACAGAGACTGTCATTGATTAGGTATATCTACTTACGGCAGTCCCGTGGTCTCCAGAATGTTGGGCGGGGTGTGGAAGTTCCAAGGGGGTTTTGAAACTGAGTGCATCTGTACGTATAGTAGTCAGGATATTTATCTTGAACCGTCATGAAAACAAAACAGAGTTTCCAGCTTGACGCGGAGAATGATCTTCATTGTGCCTTGTCCAACCTCAGACCAACAGTGACAGATATCAGCAGGACATAACAGTGTGAAACATCACAGTGTGAGACATCACAGTGTGAAACATCACAGTGTGAGACATAACAGTGTGAAACATCACAGTGTGAGACATAACAGTGTGAAACATCACAGTGTGAGACATAACAGTGTGAAACATCACAGTGTGAGACATCACAGTGTGAAACATCACACTGATATTTGAAAGCTAAACTACCGTACCAGTTGTTTGGTGATTTGTTCTTGTGTTGTCTGTGACTGTGATTTACGCGGATGTTCTCTCACAAGTGCTTGTTAACAGTAATTGGAATTTTTGCTTTCTCTCCCTCTGTTTAATGGCATAAAAAAAAATTGTTGTAATTGAGGAGAGGGGGATAATTGACATAATTACGGGGGGGGGGGGGGGGGGGCGCCACATGAAAAAGTATCTTTCTCACTCTATGTCATTCTCTATGTGTCTATATGCGTAGGTGTGTATGTCCGTCTTACCGTCTCTGTCTTCCGAGCACTTGTTCTAAAGCTGACGAGGTCGCTGATGATGATGCTGGGTAGCTCATTTGCTGTCAGGCGATGCTGAGACTGCAGAGATGTTGTCTAGCTACTGAAGCTTACTGCAGTCTATCTCTGACCTGATGTTTTCCTCACAAAAGCAAATAACCTGTCAAGAGAAAAAGAAAGAGCTAGTGAAAGAAGTGAGAGGAGGTGTCAGTGGCGAAGGGGTCAAGCTGTTGGTCTCGAGCTCTGGGGGGTCGAGGGTTCGTTTCTCGAACGCGCAGTTCACCTCATGAGTGTTGTTTTTCCTCAGATCTTGTAAATCGTCGCTGCAGCTATGTAGTTCGTGCCTTGTGTGACGTTCTCTCTTCATTCTCAAACCGTTCTATGGAGAGAGACCCAATCGTATTTGATAACCTGGGACAGTAAGGAAGGATCTGTTCGACTTGAACTCGACTTCAACTCTATTGAAAGGAATGAAGACAGAAAGAAATAAAGAATTGATGAAAGGCAGAAAGAAAGCTGGGTACACATACACACGCTGCGTGAATTTCTTAGAAGCCTCTGTAGACTGGGACTGTTGGGCAGGTGCCAACAGAGAAACCTAACGCACTACCACACTGCATGCTTCTGTGATGGTTTTAATGTCGTTTGGAAAAAAATATAATCCATGCAATTCTGCTAAGAACGGGAGCTATGCAAAGGCCGTGATTGCTAACCCTTGTTGACTAGACACTATACTCACCAAGGGCGCCGACACAAAGAAAACTATACGTGTGCTGGGCCTGGGGGGGGGGGGGGGGGGAAGTGCTCTGACCTAATTTTCTAAGAGGGAGACTAATGATCAAAGCCTTTTTAAAGTAAGCAATAAGTAAGATAAATATAAGTATATATCTGACTTGATATAAATATAGTAACAAATACTTACAATAGAACTCTAGATATAGTTACTATATATAGCAATATATAGTTGTCAACCAATTGTGTCGGCACTATAACACAGCCCTTCAGGCTTGATTCCATGATAGAAACTGTAAATTTGGGGAATATGTAGCTTTTCTGCCTACCCCGCGAGCGTGAACTCGGACCACAAGGAGTTTGTCACCCGGTCGCCGCGCAGCCGGTTTAATTAACTTAGCTAGCGCGCCGGCAAGTAAATTCAGTAATGTAACATAAACTATAAGTATTGCATCAACAAATTCTTCCGAAAACAACGTCTATACATGGTTGGAAGAAGCTAGGAGGCGGGAAAGGGGGGGGGGGTCGCTTAGTCCTTCATGATTTTGGGGTTAAGGGGGAGGGGGGGGGGGGGCAGGAGATATCTGAGCACCAAATTCAGACGCCCATGCTCTATTGAACAAACTGATGTAGAGCCTGTACAAGTAAACTAGAAGACCCTTTACCAGGCTTTCACGCCCATTGGGCATACAGGACATATTGTATAGACCAATCGGTACTCGGTGGATGATGTCGTCAGCATCACGCCGGCCGCCTTTACTTTCTAGTACTGTACCAGGTACCCACTCAAGGCTGGGTATTCCTTAGGGCTAGGCTCATTTTTTAAAAGTCTGGCCTCGTCCGGATCAAAAGTGAGTGGGTTCGGCTCCGGACGAGGCCAGAGCCGAACCCACTCACTTTTGATCCGCAGGCCAGCTCCTAGCCGTTACACTAGAGCGGCTCCCACGTAGAACGTGTATTGTAGCCTAAAATGTCTACCCCTTCAAGTGAGATCGGGTATGCTAAGCATCGGCAGTATCCTAGCAACAGGGCCCACGCTTCTATCTTTGTTTTGTTTTGTTTATAAATGCACTAATGTCCCTATTTTCTGTGACCCTACACACAATGAGTCCTCAGCCCAACCGATGCAGACACGGTAATGGCAGTTGCGAATCAAACTAGTCCGCTTCTGACGATTAATATTACCGTTTCCACAAACTTTGAAGTTTCCCCTTGAGTGTTCCCGAGCAGGTGATTGGCTGGTTCGTAAACAACACATGCCACGCTAATTGCCATTATCCAATCAGAGCGTCTCTGTTAAACTTTCCAAGATATGCGCCGATTTAATTGGTCTAGCAGTTTTCTCAACTGTGCTCAGCTGAATAGAAGTTTCTCTTATTTCAACACAGACTGTTGACTGAAAGGAAAACATGAGGGTAAATACTAGCTTTGATATCGTTTACGCTGCTTCATTGCTGGGTTTCCAACATTCTTTGTGAAAATGGTAGGAAAAGCAAAGCGTATTTCTGTATTTCTTGTATGTCTATTCAGCCCTGGTCTTAAACTGTTGAAACAGAGTAGGTTCGGGAGAGTTGCGAGACTGTAGTGAGCTCAAAATAATATAGACATGATTCATCTGCATCTTGCATCATCATCATTGTCACCATCATCATCATTATCATCCGTACACCATAATCTTCACGTGGCAGGTTCATTGTTGAGCCTCAGGCTCTTTCTACGTTCAATTATTGCCAAGATCTACAACAGAAATCACATTTGTAACAATCCTGGAACAGCTGCATCTCACCATACATGGCATGTGGTCACAGTCAGCTGAAGGTGACTTTGAGATTAGCGTAAACAATGTCCCCCCCCCCCCCCCCCCCGTATAAAGTATAAAAGCCGCCAAAGTCAAACAGCTTTTAAAACATGCTATAGTTTGTAGGGGGGGGTGGGAAAGGGGGCCTAGAAAAGATTGAGCTGCAGGCCTTGCCAACGGCTGGTACTGCTTGGCTTGAGACCTATATTCCAGTGCTACCAGCTGACTGAGACCTATATTCCAGTGCTACCAGCTGACTGAGACCTATATTTTAGTGCCACCAGCTGACTGAGACCTATATTTTAGTGCCACCAGCTGACTGAGACCTATATTCCAGTGCTACCAGCTGACTGAGACCTATATTCCAGTGCTACCAGCTGACTGAGACCTATATTTGAGTGCCACCAGCTGACTGAGACCTATATTTTAGTGCCACCAGCTGACTGAGACCTATATTCCAGTGCTACCAGCTGACTGAGACCTATATTTGAGTGCCACCAGCTGACTGAGACCTATATTCCAGTGCTACCAGCTGACTGAGACCTATATTCCAGTGCTACCAGCTGACTGAGACCTATATTTGAGTGCCACCAGCTGACTGAGACCTATATTCCAGTGCTACCAGCTGACTGAGACCTATATTTGAGTGCCACCAGCTGACTGAGACCTATATTTTAGTGCCACCAGCTGACTGAGACCTATATTTTAGTGCCACCAGCTGACTGAGACCTATATTC